CGAGCTGTTGCAACGGGCGTCAGGGGTGAAAAGCGAGCTGACTCAGATCCTGACGTCATCATCCTCGTCAGCAAAAGAGGGTCAGACTGCGCCGGAAGGCACGAGCCCGGAAGCAGGGGGAGGAGGAGTGGCGGAAAGAGGGGTTGAGGAGAAGGAGAAAGAGGAGAAGGAGAGCGCGGATAAAGTAGTTACAGTTGATACCACCTCTGCCAGCCGACCAATTAGACTAGACTGGTGAGTGAACAAGTGAGTGAGTGAGGGAGGGAGGGAGGGAGGGTGGGTGGGTGGATGGGAGGGAGGGAAGGAGAGAATGGGGGAGGGAGAGAAGGATCCGGGGGGGGGAAGGGAAGGAGTGGCTCACCAGCCAAAGTACCTTCCATTCTCCCTCTGCTGCTGCAGGATAAAACCATTTGTGTGCAAGAAAGGAACGGAAAGGAGGTTCTTTGGCTGGTGTGAGACCAGGAAAAGGAAGGACAAGGAGGAACGGCACAAGATGGCCGCTTTCCTGTGCTGAAAGCGCTTCTCTCTGTCTCCCTCTCTCCCTCCCTGTGCCCCCAGGGCGAAGCCAGCGGCCAGTGACGCACGGAGATAAGCAAGTGCCCAGCACAACCAGCACAAGATGGCCGCGGCCTGTGCTGAAGAGCGCTTCTCTCTATCTCCCTCTCTCCCTCCCTGTTCCCCCAGGGCGAAGCCAGCGGCCAGTGACGCACGGAGATAAGCAAGTGCCCAGCACAACCAGCACAAGATGGCCGCGGCCTGTGCTGAAGAGCGCTTCTCTCTATCTCCCTCTCTCCTCCCTGTGCCCCCAGGGCGAAGCCAGTGACGCACGGGGAAAGGAGGTACTTTGGCTGGTGAGACCAGGAAAAGAAAAGACAAGGAAGAACGGCACAAGATGGCCACAGCCTGTGCTGGAAGCGCTTCTCTCTATCTCCCTCCCTCCTCCCTGTGCCCCCAGGGCGAAGCCAGCGGCCAGTGACGCACAGCAAGTGCCCAGCACAACCAGCACAAGCAGCACAAGATGGCCGCGGCCTGTGCTGAAGAGCGCTTCTCTCTATCTCCCTCTCTCCCTCCCTGTTCCCCCAGGGCGAAGCCGGTGCCCAGTGATGCAGGGAGATAAGCGAATGCCCAGCACAGCCAGCACAAGGTGGCTGCGTCCCGTGCTGAAATTTGCTGAAAGTTTGTTCTGTCTCTCTCCGTCTCTCCCACCCATGACCCACATGGTAAAGCCAGTGACACACAAGGAGAAGGACGAGGAGGGCCGGCAAAAGGTAGCAGCAGAGGCTGAAAGCCACTATCTTTTTTTTTTTTTTTTTTTTGAAAGTACCCAGCTCTACTCCCTCCCTCTCTTCTGCTGCTTCTGCCTTTGCTTCTATCCGTCCGCAGGGTGAAGCCAGTGACTCACAAGGAGAAGGACGAGGAGGACAAGGCGAAGGTGGCAGCAGGCGTGTGTGACAAAATCCAGAGCTACGCGAAGCTTTATGGGGAAGGGCTGATAGCGTGGCAGCCACAGGCAGACAAATATGTTCTCATGGATTGCCACAGGAACCAGGTGAGGCGGTTGGGAGGAGTGGAGAACGGTGTTTGGTGCGGGTGGGTCTCTCAGTGCGTGGTGGCAGTAGCCGCAGGCCGACAAGTACGTTCTCATGGACTGCCACAGGAACCAGGTGAGTGAAATTTGGGGTGCTGGGAGGGGGAGAGGTGTGTGTATGCGTGCAGTGCGAGCCCCTCCCTTGCATGGCAGGCAGGGGGCTACTTCTTGTTATGCTGCACAGCGCCCATCAACGCACCTCACCCAACCCCACCCCACCCTCTCCACCACGCTCCACCAGATGAGCAACCGGGTGCGGTGCATCAAGAACTACCTCCTGGCAGCGGGCTACTTGAACCGCACACTCGTAGCGTTACCCTCTGCGCACTCCCCTCAACCGTGCCTCACCCCACCCCACCCCACCCCTTTCCACCACACTCCACCAGATGAGCAACCGAGTCCGGTGTATCAAGAACTATCTACTGGCAGCTGGCTACTTGAACCGCACACTGGTGGTGCCTCTGCATGCCGACGAAATCACCTATCACTACGAGCGCCGCGCTTACTTTGACGTCAACCACACACGCCGCTGCTTTGGCTCGCGGACTGTCATCTCCCGGGATGAGCTTCTGGAGGAGGAAAGGGAGAGGAGGATGGGTGCTGCAGGAGGGGGAGAAGGGGGAGCAGGGGGAGCAGGAGGCGGAGGGGGAGGAGGGGGAAATGCTACGGTGAATGTGGACCAGATAGTCTGTTTGATTGGTCGGTGTTACAATCAGGAGGACATGGGCGTCCCGGACCGCATGCCGAACCTAACCGGCATCGGGTACTCGCCGAACCTAAAGTGGACAAACGGCGGGTTTGTTCAGAAGCATCCAATCAACATCACCGATTTCCACCACGTAAATTCCATGCTGCTTCCCTCGGCTCGTCTCATCACATTCAGTGACTTAGGGGCGATGACTCTGGATGCTTCCAGGACGGAGGATGGCAGGTTTATGAACAATCTCGACCTTCCGTTTGTTCGTGTTCCGGGCTGCCCGAATCCTCTGGCCATCCAACCGCATCCCGTGATTTTAGAAGCAGCAGATGCGTTTGTGCGGTCGCGGCTTTTGCAGGGACTGCCCCGGGAATGGGAAGTGAAGAATGGGAGCAGTGGTGATGGGAGCGGCAGCACTGGAAGTAGCACCAGTGCCAGCAACAGCATCAGCAATAGCAGCAGCAGTGATGGTAGCAGCAGCAGCAGCAGCAGCAGTGGGGAGGGGAACAGCAGTTTGGCGATCGGACGGTACATGGCGATTCACTGGAGACGGACGGACCTGATTAAAAGTTTCAAGGACCCGCTGTCGCATCTGACGGTGGAGCAGACAGGGAGATGTGTGGCGAGGAAGATGATTCGGTCGGGCAACTTGACTACGCTGTTCCTGGCAACTGACACGAATGACGAGGAGGTGAGTGGCTTACAGAAGGTGGTAACATTGTACTGTCCAATATAATAGTTGATTTATTTAGGAGGACTCATGTTTCATATCTCGCCAACTCTGTTTGCAATTGTCGACTACCGCATTCTAGATGAGGTGAGCAGACTTATCTATAATTTTGGATTCATGTTCGCTCTGTAGGATGAGCTTACACGAATTGTTGTATTCTGTACTTTGCCCTCAGTTGTTTTTCCTATAGTCCATGCCCTTTTGCCTCCCTGCACTTGTTTTTGAGGCTCTCAAAACATTCTCTCATCCCTAACCCCTTGCATTTTTTTCCAACAGGTGAATGAACTCGAGAAAATCATGCGTACCTACATCCCGAACCTGAGGCTGGTTCGGCAGCCGACATTTCTGACAGGCGAGGACTGGGCGGCAGTGCTTGCTCAGGCTCACTTCACCCACATGTTTACCGTTCAAGCTATGCTCGATAAGGTGATATGCGCTATGGCAGATGTGTTTTCGGGTACAGATGCGTCGTCGTTTTCGTTGGATATTACCCGGATTCGAGCGGGGCTTAGGTTTCAAGTGTGTGATGATGCACCTATTTGTCAAGGGCAAGCACTTGTCGGTGAGCGCTGATGCGATGGATTACTTGCATTTACAGTATTCGTTACCGTTTTTGCCACGGAAAGTGACAACCACTTTACACAATCTCCTGTGTATAACAAAAATAAAGGGCTGGTGATTTCAGCAAATTAATAGAGTGTTATAGCACTTGGGTGCTCCAAGATGACATGCTTTTATGAGTACCAGTAAAGCGGGAGAGAGAAGCTTTAAAAATCACACAATATCACATAAACAGTTGGAGAAGCAACAACGCGTCCGGGAGTACGAACGCCACTTGAAATTCGGATGTTCTTATTGCTCAGAACCCTATCCAACCCATTTTGTGCCCTTCCTGAGCACTCTGAACCGTATACGAAATTACTGAACCGCACTGTGGTTGACTTCTGCTTGCCACAACCTTCTCGCACCACCTACTTTATTCTACAGCAGCATCACAATCACCAAGCATACTCGTCGTAGACATTCGTGAGGGGAATGATGATGTCTCGACACGATAGGATAGGAGACGTCACTGACAAGTGATGATCGCTGGTTGCGTTAGGCGATTCGTGCAACGACGGTGATTGTCAGCATTCCCAATTCAAATTGGAAAAGACGTAGTGTAATGGCGGAAAGCTGACATCTGGCAGCAACTGCTTCTGTCATTTATGATTCTATCCTGCTTTTAATCCTGCACATTGCCAGCCCTCTGCTTAGCTTCTGTTTCACTGACCTCCAGAGCTTGCATTTGGATTTAGTACCAGATAGTCAACGCCTGGGAGAATCGACGGAGAGAGGCGGATATAAGCATGAGATATTGTTTGCGGATAGCGTGTGCTATCCTTGTTACGGTCGTCTCGTTACAGTGGCAGGATCAGGGGTTCGCAAGTGGAAGGGAATTGGATGGAGCGGTTGGTGCTAATGAAGAATCCAATGCGATAATATCGGGAATACCGAGATTGAAATTGAAACGAGGGTCGCATGAGAGCAGCAAGGGAAGCAGGAATGCGGTTCAGGGTGATATCGAGGCGTTTGGAGCACCTTCTCGGGTTTCTGAAGTGGTTCGGAGGGAGACGAATGTGGCTCAGGAGGAATCGAAGGCAGATGTTGTGATTGGACGAAACGGAGCAGGTGACCCCGAGCAACGTGAAGCGGAAAAAGACGATAATGCTGCTGATACGGCTGATATCGTTCTCGGTACAGCCGAAACAAACGAGGATACGGCTATTTTAGCTCGAGATACGGTCGTGCAAGCCTGGCTGAAGAAATGGAAAAGAAGATGGTTATTGCAAGATTCGATAGTAGATGAATCTATAATAGGCCGGGTTGGGGCTATTGAAAAGGATATTCAGGACAATCTAGCGGAACAGGGGAATGTTACCGAGCTGTTACAGCGGGTGTCGGCCATACGAAGCCAGCTGACTCAGATTCTGACGTCATCATCGATGTCAGCAGCCGATGCTCGGACCGCCGAGGGAGGAAAGAGGGAGGGAGGAGGGAAGGGACAGGAAGGCACGAGCACGGAAGGAGGGAGTGGAGGAGTGCAAGCGGGTCAAGAAGGAATCCCTGTGGCGAACGCATTGGGTGCAGTGGCTACCACGAACCGACCCATCAGACTCGACTGGTGAGTCCAAAGGAGGCCCTGTTTGGAGCCATGTGTCAGTACGTGGCAGCAGAAGGAGGGAGTGGAGGAGTACAAGCGGGTCAAGAAAGAATGACTCTGGCGGATGTAGTGGGTGCCACTAACCGACCCATCAGACTCGACTGGTGAGTTCAAATGAGGTGTTACTATGGAGAACAAGGAGTATGAGGACAGGGGTACAAGCGGGTCAGGATGGAAGCACTGTGGGGGGTGCAGTGGGTGCTACTAGCCGACCCATCAGACTCGACTGGTGAGTTCAAATGAGGTGTTACTATGGAGAACAAGGAGTTTGAGGACAGAGGAGTGTGAGCGGGTCAAGAAGGAAGCACTGTGGGGGATGCAGGTGGTGCCACTAGCCGACCCATCAGAACCGACTGATGAGTGCGGGAGTGAATGAGAGAGTGAGTGAGGAGGAGAAAGCAGCAACGAGTGGAGAGGAGGTGAAGGAGGAGGAGCACGAGGAGAGAGGAGAGGATGCGGGTGAAGAAGGAAGGAAGCACTGTGACGGATGCAGTGGGTGCCAGCGGACCCATCAGACTCGCCTGGTGAGTGCGTACGGGAGTGGGAGAGAGTGAGTAGGTGAGAGAGGGAGTGAGTGAGTGAGTGGGTCAGTGAATGAGAGAGTGAGTGAATGAGTGAGTGGGAGCAGACAAGGAAGACCAGATGAAAGTGGCAGCAGGCGTGTGTGACAACCCAAAGCTACGGCAAGCTGTGTATGATGATAAGACCCAGACCCAGGCGTCTCTCTGTCCCTCTCTCTGCCCCTGTTCCCCTCTGCCCCCAGGGTGAAGCCAGTCACTCAGAAGGAAAAGGAGGAGGCAGGCAAGCAGAAAGTAGCAGCAGGCGTGTGTGACAAGACTCAGAACTATGGGAAGCTGTATGGGATGGGTCCGATTGCGTGGGAACCTCAGCCTGGCAAATACGTGCTGATGGACTGCTATAGGAACCAGGTGAGGGGTAGGAGAGAGAGAACGAATTGTGTGACAAGACCCAGAATTCTCAGAAGAAGCTATCCTTTTGAGAAATATTGAAAAACAAATCCTCAATTACAACCGATTTCATTACTGACCTGCTGCGGTTCAAATCCTTCTTTACTGAGCACACTCCTTCTTTGCTTGATGTCAAGCACACACGTTTTGAGGCGCCTCAAAAGTCGACTGCCGTCCATGCTTTGATTGGCGTCGACCTCACCCGGCAATTGCTACGCAATCCATTCACTGCCTCCCCCTCTCCCCCGTCTCCCCGCCCCGGTCCCCCGTCCCTTCCTCCCCTCTCCCCCTCACTTCACCAAATGAGCAACTGAGTCCGTTGCATGAAGTATCTGATAGCAGCGGGCTACTTGCTTGTGATGCTGCTCCTCATCACACCCCACCCCTCTCCACCGCACCCCACCAGATGAGCAACTGAGTCCGTTGCATGAACAAGTATCTGATAGCAGCGGGCTGCTTGAACTGCATGCTGTTGGTCCCTCTGCTGCCCAGTGCCCCATGGGGTGAGCGTGAGTCAGCAGTGAAATGCCCCACCATCGCAAACCACCTTGCCAGGGCAAAGAAGGTGCAGCAGCAGCTGGCTAGACCAGGCGTTCTGGAGAGGTGAGAGCAGACGGGACACTTCACAGTGGGAGAAGAGACAGGAGGCAGGCTGATCGGCCACGTGAGGCGACTTTTGAGTCGACTCAAAAGACAGTGGGAGAAGAGACAGGAGGCAGGCTGATCGGCCACGTGAGGCGACTTTTGAGTCGACTCAAAAGACAGTGGGAGAAGAGACAGGAGGCAGGCTGATCGGCCACGTGAGGCGACTTTTGAGTCGACTCAAAAGACAGTGGGAGAAGAGACAGGAGGCAGGCTGATCGGCCACGTGAGGCGACTTTTGAGTCGACTCAAAAGACAGTGGGAGAAGAGACAGGAGGCAGGCTGATCGGCCACGTGAGGCGACTTTTGAGTCGACTCAAAAGACAGTGGGAGAAGAGACAGGAGGCAGGCTGATCGGCCACGTGAGGCGACGTGAAGTGGTTTGCTGGACACAAGTCTCGATTATCTCTCTCTCTTGTTCTGTATTTTTCTCTCCCAAGCAGGTTTGTGTCCGACGAGACATCTCTACAAGCCATGCGGCAGTGCTTCGCAGGGCTGTGGAGTTTGGAGGAGGAAGGAGGAGGGGGAGAGGGGACAGGAGAAACATCAGCAGCACGAAATGCAATCTTAAAAAAAACGATTGGGGAACCATCTGAGTTTGTGCTGAAGCCTCACTTGTCACTCCTATCTTGCCTCTCCCAACCACCTGTTTTCCTCTATAGGTTCGTTTCAGACGAGGCGTCTCTACAAGCCATGCGGCAGTGCTTCGCAGGGCTGTGGAGTTTGGAGGAGGAAGGAGGGGCAGCGGAAGGGGGAGGCGATGATGGGGCAGCACGGAACGCAATCATTGCAAAGGCGATTCAAGAGCCATCAGAGTTTGTGCTGAAGCCGCAAAGAGAGGGAGGAGGTGAGATACTGGACATTCAGAAACGTCTTGCGAGCCTTTGAAGATGCGTCAATAGACAATTGGTGAGCCTCACGTAGGCGGAGGCTTTTGAGCGGACTCAAAATCAGGGCTCACAGTAGCAGGGTGCACATCCGGAATTTCCATCAACATTCCGGATTCTTTCGCCAGAGATCCGGATTTTGATGGGGTATACGTAGAAATCATACGGACCAATTCCGGATATTTTAGAGAAAACATCCGGACGCTTCAGGATGATCCCAAGAAACCTTCGTGCCGGAATTGAATTGCCGCGTACCTGAAAAGGGTACAAGTTGTATGTTTATGGAGAGGGCCCGGAGGCATCCGGATCTCTAGAAACGAAAAAAATAGCCCTGCTCAAAAGTCAAGTAGAAGGAGGAGGCATGCCATTCAAACAGAAACAGGTTCTGTGAACCGGAATCATTTCTGAACTGTAGTTTTGAGCACAAACCATTTATGTTAACTGAAATTGTTCGTCCAAACATTAAGCTGTGTATCGGATCCCCGTCTGATTGCTGATTAATCGTTCGAGCTGTCTTTACCGGTAAACCTTCTAACCGCTATGCAACCCAATCCACCCCTCTGTGCAGGCAACAACATCTACGACGAGGAAATTACCAGGAAGCTCACGGAGCTGACAGAAGCAGGGGAGGCGGGGAGGCAGGAGCTAGCAGCGTTCATTCTCATGCAGCGGCTCTTCCCCCCCGTGCATCGCTCCGTGTTAATTCGCCGCTGCCAGCACAGCTGGAACGATACGTTGTCAGAGCTGGGAGTGTATGGCACATACCTGAGGTACGTGTGGGCATGGGTCAGGGTCAGAAGCAGGGGAGGCGGGGAGGCAGGAGCTAGCAGCGTTCATCCTCATACAGCGGCTCTTCCCCCCCGTGCACCGCTCGGTGCGCCGCTGCCAGCACAGCTGGAACGACACACTCTCTGAACTGGGCGTGTATGGCACGTACCTGAGGTGTGTATGTGTGCTTGTGAACAAGTGAGCAGCAAAAATCACCCTTCCTCCCTCTCGTGCACCGCTCTGTGCTGATTCGCCGCTGCCAGCACAGCTGGAACGACACGCTGTCAGAGCTGGGCGTGTATGGCACGTACCTGAGGTGAGTGTGTGTGCATGTGGGTATGGGTGCAGTAGCAGGGCTGGCAGCAGCTCCGTGTGTGCATGGGTGGGCTGTACCTCAGTTGGTTTTTTTAGACTTCTCAAAAGACGTATCAAAAGCCGTCTGTAGACACCGAGTGCATGGGTGGGCTGTACCTCCTTTGGGTTATAAACTATAACATGTAACACCAACCCAACCCACACGCTTCACCTCCTCTTACTCTTCTCCTTCCGTTCTCCTTCATTTTCCCCTTCTGCTCCCTTGATCTTTAGGAACGGGGACAGGGTGGTTATCAACGCAGCAGCAGGCCACCTATTGCGCACCAAAACGGCAACTTCGAACGAGGGAGGGGTGGCATCTGGTTTTGCAGTGCTCGATTCCCCGTATCTCGTCTGAGGGGACACATTTGTTGCTTTATGGTGTCTATGTGTAGCCACATTAGTGTAACTGCATTAGTTTAATTAATAGTGTAACCACTTTCTAAAACCTTTTGTAGTGTTTTGAATGTGTGTCTGCTGCCATGCAGCAAAGGCAGTACAGTGTCAAATCTCTACTCTGGATAAAAGAGGGGTGAAGGCAATTCACCTCACTCAATGATTCCCCTATCCAGGTTACCTATCCCACAGTTACCTATTTCCCACCACCGGCAACCCATGACAGATTGGAGCATCGTCACATTCTTGAAACCGAAGCCCAGCTCTGATCCTATTTATATCTGCACTAAAGGAAGACGCATCAGTCCCCAAAAACACATCAGCCATAACGCATATAGCCTTATCGAGTACAGCCTGTACTGTAGTCATGTGGGTGAAATGGGCCTGAGCTAGCACTGCCGCCCAGTCCTCGCCTGCCAGGCTCGCCGGCTGCCGAACCAGCCTCAGGTTCGGGATGGAGGTACGGATAACTTGCTCCAGCTGCTTCACCTGCAGGAAAGGCGCATTGTTGAGATGGTGTGGGGAGGAGAAACGAAACCACGTGGAGAAAAGGCATGAATGCCAATACGGATGGGCGTGAAGTTACTGGTACCATCTAGCCATTCACATGGCTTGAATGAAGGCTGTATCTCTCTCACCTCCTCATCATTCGTGTCAGTCGCCAGGAACAGAGTCGTCAAATTCCCAGACCGAATCATTTTCCTTGCCACGCAGCTCCCTGTCTGCTCCACCGTCAGATGTGCGTAGTTTTTAATCAGGTCCGTCCGTCTCCAGTGAACCGCCATGTACCGTCCAAATACTAATCTACCACTCCCCGCTTCACCGCTGCTGGTGTTGCTGCTGCTACTACCACTGTTGCTGCTATTCTTCACTTCCCATTCCCGGGGAAGCCCCTGCAAAAGTTTTGACCGCACAAACGCATCTGCCGCTTCCAGAATCGCGGGATGCGGTTGGATGGCCAGAGGGTTCGGGCAGCCCGGGGAACGAATAAACGGAAGGTCGAGATTGCTCATACGGGACCCATTCGCCTGCATGGAAGCATCTAGTATCGCCGAACCTAAGTCGTCGAACGTAATTAGCCGAGCCAAGGGCAGAAGCTTGGAATTGACCAATTGGAAATCCGTGATGTTGACTGAATGGCTTGACAGGAATCCCCCGGACGTCCACGTCAGGTTCGGCGAGAAACCGATGCTGGTGTAGTTCGGCATTTTCGTTGGAATGCCTATGGGGTCTTGATCGTAGCAGCGGACAAACACACAATCTGGTCCAGATTCACCGTATCATTCCCCGCTCCTCCCCCTCCTTCTCCGCCTCCCCCTCCCCCTCCCCCTACCCCGCCCCCGCCACCATTCCTCCTCTCCCTCTCCAGCTCTAGTAGCTCATCCCGTGAAATCACCGTGCAGGGACCGAAGCAGCAGCGCGTGTGGTTGAGATCAAAGTATGCGCGGCGCTCGTAGTTGTGGTTAATCTCGTCAGCATGCAGAGGGACCACCAGCGTGCGGTTCAAGTAGCCCGCTGTGATTAAGTATTTGTTCATGCACCGGACCCGGTTGCTCATCTGGTGGGGTGGGGTGGGAAGGGGTGGGGTGGGGTGGAGAGAGGGGTGGGATGGGATCAAAATATGCGCGGCGCTCGTAGTTGTGGCTGATTTCGTCGGCATGCAGAGGCACCACCAGCGTGCAGTTCAAGTAGCCGGCAGCTATGAGATACTTGTTCATGCACCGCACACGGTTGCTCATCTGGTGGTGGGGAGGGATGCGGTCCCAAGACACTCCCCACTCTGCTCCCCTCTCTGCTCCCTTCTCTGCTCCCCTCTACCCTCACCTCTCCAGCATGCCTGGCTGTGCCAGCTGCTGCTGCACCTTCTTCGCCCCTGCAAGGTGGTATGCGATGGTGGGGCATTTCACTGCTGCTGATCGCTCAAGGAGCAGGCGAGCCTCCCACTCCTGAGGCAGGCAGTCAGAGAGAGGGGTGAGTGATGTGGAGGAGTGGGAACAGTGGGGGGATATGAGTAAACTCAAAAGTCACTTTCCGAATGAAAGCTGGGTGGGGCACTGTGGCAGGCAAAAGCGGGTTCGGTAACAGAGCAGAGGATACAGAGCTGATTTTGAGCAGAATTCGGGTAGAGAACGCCTCAGGCTGACAATGGATTTTCAATGAAAAATGAGGCAAGCCAAACGCCTGGGAAACAAACAAACAAGAAACATACCGACTGCAGAGCACACAACTTACAAGATCAGTTGGGTAGTCACCGGGGTCGTAGCCTGCACGGTAATATACCACTGATATGTGATGGCCGTCGCTGGAGTGTGGGATAGGGAGAGAAGAGGGAGGAGGAAGGGCATGATATAGAAGCAGTACAACTCAGCACGTGCACACACACACTCTCACTTTTATTCATATATGTACACACACAAGCACACTCGCATGCACACACGCTCGCACGCACACACACACCCACATGCACACACTCTCTCAGCTTTATGATTGGTACTGAGAGTAAGGCTAAGCGTACATGCTGGCTTCGCCTTGCACACACTCTCTCATTTATGCAGACGTGTACACACATGCACACACGCTCGCATGAACACAAGCACTCAAACTGTTGACTTCTGAATCGACTCAAAAGTGAACTCATTAATGCAGACATGTACACACATGCACGCACACACATACAGAAAGTGGGAAAACAAAGCATGTGCAATCACTTGCTTCATCAGGCAGTGCTGATCGTACATGCTGGCTTCGACTTGCACACACTCTCACATTTATGCAGACAAGTACACACACGCACACGTTGAGCACTGATAGGGCTGGTCGTACATGCTGGCTTCAACTTGCACACACTCGTTTATGCAGATATGTACACGCATGCACGCACGCTCGCAAGCACTCACACTGTTGACTTTTCCGTAAATTCAAAGGTCAACTCATTTATGCAGACAAGTACACACACGCACACGTTGAGCACTGATAGGGCTGGTCGTACATGCTGGCTTCAACTCGCACACACTCTCACATTTATGCAGACATGAACACACATGCACACTTGATGCACACACTCTCACATTTATGCAGACATGAACACACATGCAAACTTGATGCACACACTCTCACATTTATGCAGACATGAACACACATGCACACTTGATGCACACACTCAGCACTGATAGTGCTGGTCGTACATGGCTTCAACTTGCACACACTCACACGTTTATGCAGACATGAACACACATGCACGCATGCTTGCACACACCCACGTGCACTCACACTGTCAATTGTCCAGCGCCTGTAATCATCCCCTGCTGCTGCACCTCCCTTAGACTCCTCCTCAGCACTCTAATCCCATGCCTCTGCCACACCCTCTCACACTCACACGTACATACACACACATGCACGCACACACGCACAGGCATGCACTCACACTGTCAAGTCGCCTGTGCCTGTAATCGCCCCCTGCTGCTGCACCTCCTTCAGGCTCCTCCTGAGCACTCTAATCCCGTGCCTCTGCCACAGGTGCTGCAAGAAGCAGTGCTGGTCGCACATACACATGCACACACTATCACATTTGCACAGATACGTACGCACGTGCACTCACACTGTCAATTCTCCAGCGTCTGTAATCGCCCCCTGCTGCTGCACCTCCTTCAGGCTCCTCCTCAACACTCTAATCCCGTGCCTCTGCCACACAAGCTGCGCCAAGCAGTGCTGGTCATACATGCTGGCTTCGACTTGCCCACCCTCTCACAATCTTATGCAGAGACACATAGATACACACTCGCCCACACTCACATTGTCAATTGGCCACCATCTGTAATCGCCCCCTGCTGCTGCACCTCCTTCAGGCTCCTCCTCAGCACCCGAATCCCATGCCTCTGCCACACGAGCTGCGACAAGCAGTGCTGGTCATACATGTTGCGCTCTGGCTTCTGCACCACCATCAGAATTTGAGAGCTGCTCTGGTTTGGGGTGTTTTGTGTGGTGGGTGGTGGGGAGGGAGAAAGCACATGCAAAAGGGTAGGGGAAGGTGAAGAGTGGTGGGGGCCAGTGGAGGGAGAGAGGCAGTGCTGGTCGTACATGTTGCGCTCTGGCTTTTGCACCACCATCATCAGGATGAGAGAGCTGCTCTGGTTTGGGGTGGGTTGGTAGGGAGAGGGCAAGTAGAAAGGTAAGGGGGATGGTGAAGAGGGATGGGTGGGGGCTCAGACGTGCTGTGCCAGCCGGTCAGTGCTGGTCGTACTATTTTTTAGTCGACTCAAAAAGAGGGATGGGTGGGTGGGGGCTCACACGTGCTGTGCCAATCAGTGCTGGTCGTACATGTTTCTTTATAATTCTCAAAAAACATATGGGGGCTCACACGTGCTGTGCCAGTCAGTGCTGGTCGTACATGCTGCATTCTGGCTTTTGCAATGGTTTAGGCTCACAACACTCAGACCTACCACACAGCACCCAGCCCCAACACACAGCACCCATCCCTACCACACAGCACCCAGCCCTACCACACAGCACCCAGCCCTACCATATGACAGCGTGACCCACCTACCTCTCATCCCCGTACTCCCTCCATGCCGCTGCCAGCGCATCTGCCATGTCCGTTGCTGCTGTGTTGAGGAGTAAGGCACACACAGCACCCAGATTTACCGCACAGCACCCAGCCCTACCGCACAGCACCCAGCCCTACTTACCTCTCATCCCCGTATTCCCTCCATGCTGCTGCCAGCGCATCTGCCATGTCCGTTGCTGCAGTGTTGAGAGGCACAGACAGCACCCATCCCTACCACACAGGACCCAGCCCTACCACACAGCACCCAGCCCTACCACATAGCACCCAGCACTGCCATATGACATCGTGGCCCACCTACCTCTCATCCCCGTCTTCCCTCCACGCTGCTGCCAGTGCATCTGCCATGTCCGTTGCTGCCGTGTTGAGAGGCACAGAGTCCACCGACAGACCCGCCTTCTCGCCATACATCCCCACCATGTGCCTGGCAGGGTGGGTGACAGGGGACAGCAGGGAAAGAAACGAAAGGGTGGGATAAGGACGATGCTGGTGGAGGCAATCTCATGTCCGTTGCTGCTGTGCTGAGCGGCGCAGCACCCACTGACAGACCTGCCTTCGCACCATACATGCCCACCATGTGCCTGGTTGGTAGGTAGGGAGGGGATAGTCGGGGTCAAAAAGAGTAGGGAAAGACCGTGCAGTGAGTTGGGTGTTCTCATGCCTGTTGCTGCTGTGCTGAAGAGGCACAGAATCCACTGACAGACCCGCCTTCTCGCCATACATGCCCACCATGTGCCTGGCAGGATGGGTGAGATGAGGGGCAGAAAGAGTAGGGGGTTTAGAGGACAGAAAGAGTATGGGGGATCAGGCGGAGGTGTGAATATTCTCATGTTCATTGCTGCTATGTTGAGAGGCACAGCACCCACCGACAGACCCGCCTTCTCGCCATACATCCCCACCATGTGCCTGGCAGGATGGGTGAGATGAGGGGCAGAAAGAGTAGAGTAGGGGGGAACAGGGGGGGGTGTGATATCCTCATGTACGGTTCCTGCTGTGTTGAGAGGCACAGCACCCACCGACAGACCCGCCTTCTCACTATACATGCCCACCATGAGCCTGACAGGCAGGGGGGGTTTGGAGGACAGAAAGAGTATGGGGGATCAGGCGGAGGTGTGAATATTCTCATGTTCATTGCTGCTATGTTGAGAGGCACAGCACCCACCGACAGACCCGCCTTCTCTCGCCATACATCCCCACCATGTGCCTGGCAGGGTGGGTGAGAGGAGGGACAGAAAGAGCAGGGGAAGAGGGTGCAGTGGGTGAGGTGTTATCACGCCTGTGGCTATTATATTGAGAGGCACATCATCTACCGACAGACCTGCCTTCTCTCTCGCCATACATGCCCACCATGTGCCTGACAGGGAGGGTGACAGCAGGGACAGAAGAAAAAGGGGGGAGAGGGGGTTTTCGTCCCCTTGTAAGGACGAGGTAAGGTATTCTCTCTCATGTCCGGCTCTGCAGTGTTGACAAGGCACAGCACCCTCCGACAGACCCCCCTTCCCGGCATACATCCTCGCCATGGCATCATGGCAAAGAAATATTTTGTTAATAAGAAGAGTTCCAGTTTCACAAGCTCTCGGTGACAAGCTAGTTCTTAAGCGTTCACAAACTGTATTTTCCTACTTGCTCAAACCTACTCCTGCACAAGTGTTGCTCACTGGAAGAATGTCCGAAGATCCACAGCAGCACCCTCCGACAGACAGACCCCCCTTTCCGCCACACATCCGCACCATGGCACCATTGCAAAAGAACTGAAAGAAAGAGCATCCACTCCACACCACATCAGCTGACTTTTGAGTCGACTCAAAATGTGTCGTGTGCCATGGTAACGAGGTGACTTTTGAGTCGACTCAAAAGTCACCTCGAACTGAAAGAAAGAGCATCCACTCCACACCACATCAGCTTCTGGAACGCAAGCACTCGCTTTCTATTCTCCCCTTCCCCTCCACCCCAAAAGGCTCTTACCCACCTGTGCACGTCCGTGAGTTGGGAAATGAGCCCTTGAGAAGGAGGTGGAGACGGTGCTGAGCTCCATCCACCTGCAGCACTTCCCCCACAAGGCCATCCCTTGCATCACCAACCCTGCTATGCACTACCTTCCAGCCCAAAACTCCACCTTAAACCCACCTGTGCAGATCGGTGACGCTTGAAGTGACCCTGGGGAAGGACGAGGAGATGGTGTTGACCTCCACCTGCAGCACGGCCTCACAGCAGAGTCATCCCCAATACCAGCCAGCCAGTAACCCCCCCTGCTCACCTGTGCAAGTCAGTAACCCTTGAGGTGAGGCCAGGGAAGGAGGAGGAGATGGTGTTGACCTCCACCTGCAGCATGCCCCCTGTCACACCAACCCTGCCCCTTGTAGTCCCTACTATTCTAGCCCCCTGTTCCACACCCTCTCCTTTACTCACCTGTGCAGGTCGGTGACTCGGGAGGTGAGGCCAGGGAAGGACGAGGAGATGGTGTTGACCTCCACCTGCAGCACGCCCCCTGTCACACCAACCCTGCCCCTTGTAGTCCCTACTATTCTAGCCCCCTGTTCCACACCCTCTCCTTTACTCACCTGTGCAGGTCTGTGACTCGGGAGGTGAGGCCAGGGAAGGACGAGGAGATGGTGTTGACCTCCACCTGCAGCACGCCCGCTGTAGAGCCATCCCCTCCCCAGCAACATCAGTCCTCCCGTGTTGCGGCCTTTTCCCTTTCCCCCTGCTCACCTGTGCAGGTCGGTGACTCGGGAGGTGAGGCCAGGGAAGGAGGAGGAGATGGTGTTGAGCTCCACCTGCAGCACGCCCCCTGTGACACCAACCCTGCCTCCTGAAGTGTTTACTACTCCAGCCTCCCCTGCTCACCTGTGCAAGTCAGTAACCCTTGAAGTGAGCCCAGGGAAGGAGGAGGAGATGGTGTTGAGCTCCACCTGCAGCACGCCCCCTGTCACTGTGTCCAGCAACACCAACCCTGCTCCGTATTACCTTATCCCCACCTCCTGTGCTTCGCCCCTCTTCCCTACCCCCATGCTCACCTGTGCAAATCTGTGACTCGGGAGGTGAGCCCAGGGAAGGACGAGGAGATGGTGTTGACCTCCACCTGCAGCACGGCCCCTGCAAGGCAATCCCCAGCAGCACCAGCCCTGCTACGCAATACCCCCTATCTATTCCAAACTTTCTGAGTTTAGCTCCCTGCTCACCTGTGCAAGTCAGTAACCCTTGAGGTGAGGCCAGGGAAGGAGGAGGAGATGGTGTTGAGCTCCACCTGCAGCACGCCCCCTGTGACTGTGTCCAGCATGTAGTCGGACCTGTGCATGCCCAGCCGTATGGGCTGGGAATAAAGGGGTGGAGAGGGGTGGAAAGCGGTGGGGAGGGATGGGGGGGAAAGAGGCGACTCTGTGTTGAGCTCCACTTGCAGCACGCCCCCAGTCACAGTGTCCAGCATGTAGTCGGATCTGTGCATGCCCAGCCGTATGGGCTGACGGGTGGAGAGTGGTGAGAGGGGTGGAGGGTGGTGGATGGAGAGGCAGTGGAGAGAGGTGGGGCTGGGTGGAGAACGGTGGGGAGGGATGGGAAGAAATCACTGGTGACTATGTGTTGAGCTCAACTTGCATCACGCCACCAGTCAGGGTGTCCAGCTTGTAGTCCGACCTGTGCATGCCCAGCCGTATGGGCTGGGAATGGAGAGCGGTGGAGAGCGGTGAAGAGGGATGGGGAGGAATGAATGGCTGTATTGTGCTTCTTGCAGACTGCTCACCTGATGAACTGCTCACCTGATGAATTACCTGTTTCAGTATCTCCGAGTGTAATTGAAAGAGAGCAGCTGCTATGTGCGGTTAGCATGGGTGCAGTTAGGGATGAGCAAAAATCCGGGCTGGGCCCGGCCCGGGTCGGGCCGGCCCGGAATTGCCCCGGGCCGGGCCTCAGATTTTGGGTTTCGGCCCGTGGCGGGCCGGGCCGGGCCGGCCCGCCGGGCCGTCGGCAGCCCGACATTGGCCCGCCAATTTCGGGCCGGGCCGGGCCAGCCCGGATCGAAGCGTTAAAAGCAGGCCCTGAACTTCACCCGGGCCGGGCCGGGCCCGGCCCGGGTCGGGCCTTGCATGGCCCGGGTAGGGCCATCCCAGCCCGAGTACCATATGCCCGGGCCCGGGCCACAATCTCCTTGATTCGGCCCGGGTCGGGCCGGGCCTGGCCCGCCCCGGTTTTTTGCAGGGCCCGGCGTGGCCCGACCCGGGCAGGGCCCGGCCCGGCCCGTTTTTATCCCTAGGTGCAGCTTGCTTCAGGCAGCCTGACACATACGTTACACGGTTACCACATTGCAGAATGCAATGCTCACCTGCTGAATCCCCTGCTTGAGTATCTCCGCATGTATTTAATGGAGAAAAGCTATGTGCAGTTTGCATGAGTGCAGCTTGCTTCAGTCATCTTGTCAGATAAGTTACACGGTTACCACCTTGCAGAATGCTCACCTGCTGAATTCCCTGCTTGAGTATCTCCGCGTGTATTTGGAGCAGACCGGCTGTGAAGGAGTCAGACCGCCCTGCACTGAAACAGGCGGGTTCGGGGGAAAAGGAGGACGCAGGTCAGGACTTTAGAGCGAAGAATTCAGACTGCCCTGCACTGAAACAAAGGAGTTTGGGGGAGACGGAGGACGTAAGGCAGGGCTTTCAAGCGAAGGAGGCAGATCGCCTTGCACTGAAACAGGGTAGCTCAGAAGAACCCCTGCCTCTGCAAATACCCTGCCTGCTAGAGCACCCACCTCGCCAGTGTGGACTGTAAGAAGTCAGTGTCCGGGCTGACGGCATCCACCAGGGCGTTGAAGAGAGAGGAGCGAGATGGGGTGACACCTGAGGCTTAAAACCCCTGCCACTGCAGGTACACTACTAGAGAGAGCTCAGCTTGTGAGTGTGGATTGCACGAAATCCGCGTCCTGACTGACAGCATCGACAAGATCGTTGGAGAGAGGGGCGAGCTCCACGGCTCGATGGAAGTGGTGCGCTGGGAAGGGCGTGGCGTGGGGAGCGGATTCACTGGCTCAGGAAGCAGCGGTGTGTGGTTAACTCACCTTGCGAGTGTGGACTGTAAGAAGTCAGATTCCTGACTGACGGCGTCCACAAGGGCGTTGAAGAGAGGGGCGAGCAGATGTAACCTTCATCCACCAGGGTGGTTACCAGGCAAGTGTGGTGCTCATCTTGCGAGCGTGGACTGTAAGAAGTCAGCGTCCTGGCTGACGGCATCCACCAGATCGTTGAAGAGAGGGGCGAGCTCCACGACTCGATGGAAATGGCGTGCTGGAAAAGGCGTGGGGAGCAGCAGCGTGGGGAGCAAAGTCCTGGGCGCATGTGTGTGGTTACGGTACGGTTACCACACCACACCAACCTAAGTCACTCACCTCGCGAGTGTGGACTGTAAGAAATCCGCGTCCTGACTGACGGCATCAACCAGGGCGTTGAAGAGAGGGGCGAGCTCCACAGCTCGATGGAAATGGTGCGCTGGGAAGGGCGTTGGGAGCAGTGTCACTGGCGCAGGGACCAGGCCTGACCCAGGAACCGACCCCGAGTTCTGGGGACACAGGAAGAATTGTGGGAAGGGAAAAAATGGTCGGGATGCATGTGAATACTAAGTGGGGAAGGGCGTGGGGAGCAGCGTCACTGGCGCAGGGACCAAGCCGGATCCAGGAACCGACCCAGAGTCCTGGAACACAAGGGAAAATGACACATTGGGTAAGAAGACATTGAGTGTAAGAGTGCTATGGAACGGGTATGGAATTAAGAACGTATCGAGACTTAATACGTGTAAACCATGCCAGATCCAGGAACGGAACCCCCGAGGCCAGGAGCACAGGGGAAAGTAGAATGACACAGTGAGCAGGACCACATTGAGTGTGAGAGAGGTATGACCGTACGAATGTATCGAGTTTTGAGACGTTTCAAAACAGGAAGGATCCATCCAGGAATCGAACCCGAGTCTTTGAGCACAGGGTGAAATTTCCGAGCCTGGGTGCTGGAGAACAACAGGAGTAAGACCAAATCTTAGTCGTGAAGCACAGGAACCGAACCTGAAGCGACGAAAAGTGCAATATTAGACTCTTTTACGCCACGCGTCAGCTTGATTGTCCGATCCCCTAACACAGAGCCTACCTCGACTACCTGATTTTGAAGGAAGTTAGTGCTGACCCTCCAATGTTTCGAGAAACGAAATAAACGGACCAGCTGATCTTGTATTTTCTCTAGCCGACCTCGATCGTCAGATCTTCCCTCTAACAACCTGGACCGTTCGATCTTGCCTACCTCGACCGTCTGATCGCCGACGACTAATCCGTTGAGCGAAGACCAAACTAGAGACTCATCTACCATGCCTTGCAACTCCGCGTCCGAAATGCTCTTCTCGAAATCGCTGACCGCGTCTGGCTGACCCATCTGCGACTCGTGGAACGAGCAAACAACCGGACTTCTCGGACCTGTCCTCGTTTTAAGCTGCTTCTGGAGTGTCGTTACAGAACGATGCGACTGCAATTGCGAATGCAACGGGCGAGAAAGACGAAGAGAGGCGAGCAACCCGTGGTTTCTGGTTACACGGCTGGACGATAACTCTGCTGTCTGTGTAGCGGACAAACAGCCGTTGCGCGGGAGCGTTGTACTAGCAGCAGCAGCAGCAGCAGCAGCAGCCATAGCTGCCAGTAGAAAATGAGTGATTCAGGAAACCAGATGAGCCAGATAGCCGTTGGGATACACCCCGCCTCGATATTGACGAGGAATTCTGATCAGGATTCTGAAGCGTCTGGCATGTCCCGCGCAATTGTTTTTGGTGCACTGATCACGGTATTTTTCGGTGCTTCTCGTTCTAAAGCGGTAGATCGTCAAGAAATCAGCATAAAACATCCCAGCCTCGATATAGACTTTTGTTCGGTTCTGCGTTGAAACATATTCAGTTACAGGATGCACTGCATGACTGTAATAATATCAAGTGCATAATACAATGACCTTTATCCTTCTTGGCCTCTTTGCATGCAACGCACCAATGCACATAGGAGTATAGTTTCTAAGACTCGATATAAACTGCTGCTCTATTCTCTTGGCTGACTGGCTATTGCCAGCAGAAAGACACTCATGGAGGCATAAAACGCAACTGTTTGGAGACCGGAGCTGGTTGGAGTGAGCTGCACTGCTTCCCATGCTGTGCTTAAAGGAGCTGTTACAAACGCGGATGCTGATGACACAGTGTTGAAAATGGTTCCGTTTGTTGGGAGGGAGAGCTGGAATGGGTTTTAAAAGGGAGAAAGGAAAGAAGGGGGAATGGGATGAAGGGAAGAGAGTAGGGAAGGAGGGAGAGGCAGGCAGGTGGACAACTGAGATCTGAAACTGTGATAGAGAGAGAAGGCTGATATGCCTGAATCTCAAAGCAGATGTTCATGGCAATGTCGTGGGCATGTGACAACGTAACGGAAACATGGCGGGCAACATAACAAAGACGCGGTCTCCCATTCACTCACCGACCAAATCCCATTCACGGAACCATCCAACGCGGGAGGGAGCCCCCTCCCCAGTACCCTCTAAATCGCCTCCTGCAGCAGCACCACCATCAACCAACCACCTTCCCAGCCATCCAATCTCCCATTCACTCACCGTCAAAATCCCATCCACGGAACCATCCAACGCAGGAGCCCCCTCCCCCAACAGCCGTTCAACCGCCTCCATCCCTGCGCCCCCAGCACCGCCAATCATCCTCGCCACCCCTGCTGTGTCCGCCTGCAGTGCTCTTCACCCGTTCACACCTCCCCGTGTCTTACCCCCACTCACTTGCTGTGTCCGCCTGCAGTGCTCTTCACCCGTTCACACCTCCCCGTGTCTTACCCCCACACACCTGCTGTGTCCGCCTGCAGTGCTCTTCACCCGTTCACACCTCCCCGTGTCTTACCCCCACTCACCTGCTGTGTCCGCCTGCAGTGCTCTTCACCCGTTCACACCTCCCCGTGTCTTACCCCCACTCACCTGCTGTGTCCGCCTGCAGTGCTCTTCACCCGTTCACACCTCCCCGTGTCTTACCCCCACTCACCTGCTGTGTCCGCCTGCAGTGCTCTTCACCCGTTCACACCTCCCCGTGTCTTACCCCCACTCACCTGCTGTGTCCGCCTACAGTGCTCTTCACCCGTTCATACCTCCCCGTGTCTTACCCCCACTCACCTGCCCTGTCCGCCTGCAGCGCTTCCCCGCCAGACTCCAGAAGCTTTTAAGTCGCTTCGCTACTCAGGTCTAGTGAGCATACATATGATAACCTTACCACCCCAGCCGTGTCCGCCTGCAGTGCTTCCCCGCCAGACTCCAGCGCCCCACCACCCACTCCCCCATTCACTCACCGACCAAACGCCACCATCCATTGCAGGAGCCGCCTCCCTATATAGCCTTTCAATCGCCTCCATCCCTGCAGCAGCAACACCATCGCCAGCCATCCAGTCTCCCACTCACTCACCGACCAAATGCCATCCAGTGCTGGAGCCCCTTCCTGGAATAGTCTTCCAATCGCCTCCATCCCTGCACCAGCAGGGTCGCCGCCGATCATCCTCGCCACCCCTGCTGTGTCCGCCTGCAGTGCCTCCCCACTAGACTCTAACGCCTGACCATCCAATCTCTCATTCACTCACCGACCACACGCCATCCAGTGCTGGAGCCCCTTCCTGGAATAGTCTTCCAATCGCCTCCATCCCTGTGCCAGCAGCGTCGCCAATCATCCTCGCCACCCCTGCTGTGTCCGCCTGCAGTGCCTCCCCACTAGACTCAAGTGCCTGATCATTCCACTCTCCCATTCACTCACCGACCAAACGCCATCCACGGAACCATCCAGTGCAGGAGCCCCCTCCCCGAGTAGCCGTTCAATCGCCTCCATCCCTGCACCAGCAGCGTCCCCAATCATCCTCGTCACCCCTGCTGTATCCGCCTGCAGCGCTTCCCCGCCGGACACCCACTCTCCCATTCACTCACCGACCAAACGCCCTCCAGTGATGGAGTCCCCTCCCCGAGTAGCCTTTCAATCGCCTCCATCCCTGCACCAGCAGCATCGCCAATCATCCTCGTCACCCCTGCTGTATCCGCCTGCACCCAATTCACTTACCGACCATGTGCCATCCAACGCAGCAGCTCCATTTCCAAATAGCCTTTCAATCGCCTCCATCCCTGCACCAGCAGCATCGCCAATCATCCTCGCTACCCCTACTGTGTCCGCCTGCAGTGCCTCCCCACTAGACTCAAGCGCCTGATCATTCCACTCTCCCATTCACTCACCGACCACACGCCATCCAACGTAGGAGCCCCCTCCCCCAGCAGTCTTTCAAATGCCTCCATGCCTGCGCCAGCGGCGTCGCCAATCATCCTCGCCACCCCTGCCGTGTCCGCCTGCAGTGCTTCCCCGCCGGATTCCAGAAGTTTCTGCGTCGCTTCCACACCCGACCCAAGCAGCTTGCCGACCTGGTTCAAGAGAGATGAAAAAAAAAAAAAAAAAACACACACACACAATAACTTCGCCACCCATCCCCTCCCATGTCCGCCTCCAGTGCTTGCTTCTCCACCAAAATCCACCTCGCTACTATGGCACACGACATTTTGAGTCGACTCAAAAGTCGCCTCCAGTGCTTGCTTCTCCACCAAAATCCAGAAGCTTCTGCATTGCTGCCGGCCGCAGAAGCTTCACGGGCATCAAACGAGTGCGAGTCACTCTTTCCTTTGTGTCAATACTAATAAACTCCACCGGCGGAACAGAACTGCGCGTGATCCCCCCCTCCCCTTGTCTTCCCCACCACACTCTCTTCCACCTCCTCCGCCCGCCAAACACGGTAAGCCCACAGTAACCCTGACTTCCTACTACCCACCTGCTCCGACACGCTCTCTTCTGCTGACACAGCGCGCCCAAGAATGCCACAGGTCAAGAGTGGTAACAGGTAACTCTAAGGTAACCCTATAGTAACCCTATAGTGCCACCCACCTGCTCCGACACGCTCTCTTCTGCTGACACAGCCTTTCCAAAAATGCCTACAGCTGCGCGTTCCAGATCCCCTGTGGCGGAAACTATATCCCCCACGGCGGAACCAAACTGCTCGGTATCCCCCCCCACGCCGTCCGCCCCCGCGGATCCCGCGCCGCCAGCGCCAGCAATATCGCGGTACGCGGAAGCCGCCGCGCGTTTCAAATCCTCCGCGGCGGAAACTAGACTCCCCACCGCGGAACGCGCTTTATCTACTCCGGCGGCGTCCGCAGCGGAGGCGGCTGCCGACGCGGCGGCGCGTTCAAGATCCTCCGCGGCAGTAATTAAGCTCCCGACGGCGGATCGCACTTTGTCGGTAGCGGCTGATTCCTCCGCAAGCGCCGCCGCCGCCGCAGACGCTGGCAGTGCGGCGAGAAGTGAGACAGCGGGAATCGCGGCGACGAAAGCGACGAGAGGAGCGGGAGTGCGCGGGCGCTGTGAGAGTGACACTGTGGTCTTGGGAGTTTCGAGACGGTTTATAAAGGGTACGTCCCCATGTGGACGCGACGCCGTGTTCTGAGGAACGGGCGGCGATGAGCGAATTAAGTACGAGGCGTGAGTGATGCAAGCTGCGTGAACCATGCTGGCTAACGACGCGCCTCTATGCTCAGAAACTGTGGCTCCAATAGAAGTGTTCGGTATGGAACCGCGGTTCCCGCAGCTTTTGATTGCAAGACTGAAATGTTCTATCGTCGTGAATCCGCGAGTGGTCGGGTGCTGCTAGGTGTGCCGCGTAAAGCAAGTGCGAGTGAAACGGGTGGATGATGAGTTTGGAATGAACGGACGGTGTGCCGCAATTTACAGCGTCGTGGAGGAACGTGAGCCACTGGACGTATCCGCGATAAGGTGGGCCGCTATATAGAATAGTAAGCTTCTGGCTACGATAACGATAGTTACACGCGTGAACCAGCTTTCAAATGGATAGCATATTCTCGTAAGTTATGTATTGCTGTGTACACATGACGGAAATGAGGAATAATCAGAATGCTGAAAAAAGCTCATAAGTATGTGGTTTTGCTTGACAAAGAGCATGCACGCCTCTTTACTGGCTTTGTGGCATCAACACTAAAAAATCTTGGAGGTATTCTTAAACATTTTTACAACTCTAGAAATGGTTGGAACTTACTCCGCTTACGACGAAGCTCCGTAGAATTTTCGGTCTTGTAACGAGTACAGCACTGCACTCTCCACGCCATGTTTCAACCCTTGGAAACAATCACCGTTCGCCCGCTGTCTTTCGCGTATGAGCGCGCGCCGCCATGGGTGCGCTTGTCTCCCCGCCGCCGCCGCGCGCGCTGTCTCCCCTAGTTGCCTTGCGCCACGCGCGCATCCCCGTGCGCCAGTTGCGCTTCCCCCGAAATCCCTTGAGTCCGTTTGGTCCTTCCAGAATACGAGAAAATCCTCTCTACTCTGAAACCACCGCTGCTCCGGGGGTAGGGGGAACTATTCTTCCCCCTTTCCCTGGAAGTTCCTGGATCCGCGCGGAAAGGCGCGCACAGGGCGGAGGGTCTGGCGGAAGGGGAGGGCGCGCAGCCCCGGGGGAAGGGGGAGCTCGTGGTGGAAGTGGGAGAGGACGGGGCGGGGGGAACGTGGAGAGCGGAAAGGGGAGAGGGCGGGGCGGGGGAATCGCGGATAGCGGAAGGGGGAGAGGGCGGGGTGGGGGGAATGCGGCGGGAGCAGAATCTGATGCGCGGGGTAGCGGAAACAGGCGTGATATCGGAAGTAGGGGAGGCGGCGGAACAGCGAATCTGCCACGTCAGCAGCCCGGACGAGGACGTGGACAGGGACCACGTGGCAGCAGCCGTGACGTGGAGGGCACGGGGTTTACAGTAGCAGATGGGGATATGGGGAGCGCGCGGGAGAGGGGGGAGAGCAGCGAAACACTCGGGCGGGTTGCAGGGGGGAGGGGAAGGGGAGAGGGAAGGGGAGGGGGAGATGGAAGGGGAGGGGGAGGAGCAGGGGAAAGGAGCAGGGGAGGTGGAGGTGCGATGGGTCGAGGTGGCTCCGATCAGGGTTTAAGAGGTTTAGGAGGAGGTTCAAGAGGAGGTTTAAGCGGAGATTTAGAAAGGGGTTTAAGCGGGGGTTTAAGTGATGGGCCAAGACCGGGTGTGAGAGGGGGGCGGGGCGGAGGAGGAGGGGAGGACGCGGATTTGCTGAGTGCGTATGAGGGGGATGAGTCTAAGAAGGTGTGGAAGGCTGAGAGGCAAATGCAGAGGCAAGCAGGTAAGCATGGGTGGTGGGTTAAGGGGAGTGAGGTGGGGTTCGGGGAAATAAAGGAGTTTTACTGGGCAGGGAATGAGGGGGACGAGTCGAAGAAGGTGTGGAAAGCAGAGAGGCAAATGCAGAGGCAAGCAGGTTAGTGGTTGGTGGGGGGGAGGGGCAGGGTGTAACCATTTGAAAGGCAGCGGCATGCTTGTCAGTGGGAGGGGGAGAGGATGGGGAAGTGGTACGTGAATAGGAGGGGGGATGAGTCGAAGAAAGTGGGGAAGGCAGAGGGAGAGGCAGATGCAGAGACAGGCAGGTGATCGGTGTTGTGGTTGAGAAATTAGAGCAGGGAGGGGGAATAGATGGGGACGGTTGGAAGCTGCTGAGTGAGTGCATATGAGGGGGACGAATTGAAGAAAGAGAGTAAGGCAGAGAGGCAAATGCAGAGACAAGCAGGTACGCATGGGTGGTGGGGGGGAGGGGCAGGGTGTGACCATTTGAAAGGCAGCGGCATGCTTGTCAGTGGGAGGGGGAGAGGATGGGGAAGCGGTGAGTGAATAGGAGGGGGATGAGTCGAAGAAAGTGCGGAAGGCAGAGGGAGGCAAATGCAGAGACAGGCAGGTGAGCATTAGTGGTGGGAGAGGGGGGTTGCGATGAGGTGGGGTTAGGGGAAAAGATTGGGGGATGAATTGAAGAAAGTGCGGAAGGCAGGGAGGAGGATGCAGAGGCAAGCAGGTGAGCATGGGTGGTGGGTCAGGGGGAGTGAGGTGGGCTAGGGGAAAGAAGGAGTTATACTGGGCAGGGAATGGGGGGGACGAACAGAGGAAGGTGTGGAAAGCAGAGCAGAGAGGCGGATTCAGATGCAGATGAGAGGGAGGGGGAAGGAGGGAAGAGGATGTGAAAGGCATCGACAGGCATGTTTGTGGGAATGGTAGGAGGAGAGGGGGACGGGTGGAGGAGGAGGGGAGGACGCAGATTTGCTAAGTGCGTATGAGGGGGATGAGTCAAAGAAGGTGTGGAAAGCAGAAAGGCAGATGCAGAGACAGGCAGGTCAGTGGGGAGGTCTGGAAAGGGATTATAGTTGACTTTTGAGTCGACTCAAAGGTTAGTTAGTGGGGAGGCCTGAAAAGGGATTATAGCCCAAACCGGCTCACATCATATTGTTTATCAGAACCATTTGTTTCAGCTGATGCCAGGGCAGCAGCAGACGGAGGGGATTTTTTCTGCTACAATTTCGTTCATTCCAGGTGTGTTTTGAGTCGACTCAAAACACAGCTGATGAGTAATCCGGGTTCAACAGGTCCTGTTGAATTCAGCTGATGCCAGGGCAGCAGCAGACGGAGGGGATTTTTGCTGCTGATGCCAAATGGGCCAGGGCTACAATTTCGTTCATTCCATATCCCAACGCCCCTTCCTCTTCTGCACATCCCTTGTATCTCTTCTTGTGTCCTTGCACGCCCCTGCATTAATTCCTTCTATCATCCCCCCTTCTCTTTCCAACAGAGGCTGATGCAAGGGCCGCAGCAGAGGAGGCAGCAGCAGCAAGAGCCAGGAGGAAAGAGGGTATAGCTGGGAGGAGCAATGAGTGGTGGGAAGAGGAGGAGGAGGCAGAGGAGGAGGAAGAGGAAGAGGATGAAGGAGAAAGAAGGAAAGGGAGGATGGAGAGGAGTGAGAGGGGGAGGAGCGAGGGGAGGGGGAGTGAGAGGGGGAGGGTGGAGTGGAGCAAGGAGGGAGTGAGACAGAGGTATATGTATGGTCCGTATGGCCCGTATGGGGGGAGGGCGCCGATGGTGGGGAAGCATAAGAAAGCCAAGATCACGGATGAATGGGTGATCTCGGAATTCAGCTCGGTTCAAAGCGATGAAGGTGGGTGCAGAGTGGTGAAAAGCGGTACAAAGCGGTTACAGTGGGTGCAGAGCGGTGACAATGGTAGTAGGGGAGGGGGTGACGCAGAAGTATATGTATGGTCCCTATGGCCCGTATGGGGGGAGGGCGCCGATGGTGGGGAAGCACAAGAAAGCCAAGATCACGGATGAATGGGTGATCTCAGAGTTCAGCTCGGTTCAGACTGATGAAGGTGGGTGCTGTGGGGTGAAAATGGGTTCAATGCGGTGGCAGTGGGAGCAGATCGCTGACAGTGGGTGGGTGTGTGCATCTGTACGGTCCGTATGGCCCGTATGGGGGAAGCGCGTAGATGGTGGGGAAGCTAAAAACAGCCAAGATTACGGACGAGTGGGTTATTTCTTAATTCAGCTCGGTGCAGAGCGATGAAGGTGGGTGCAGAGCGGTGACAGCAGGTTGCAGAGGGGTGACAGTGGGTGACGGTGGGTGCAGATCGGTGACGTTTGGTGCAGCGGAGTGGTGACAGTGGTAGTAAGGGAGGGAGTGAGGCAGAAGTACCTATATGGTCCCTATGGCCCGTATGGGGGGAGGGTGCTGATGGTGGGGACGCACAAGAAAGCTAAGCTCACAGACGAATGGGTCATCTCCGAGTTCAGCTCGGTGCAGACTGATGAAGGTTGGTGCAGAGCGGTGACAGCGTGTGTGCTTCGCCCCACCAACACCCACTTAAATTCAGAGATTTGTCTTCGTTCTAACCAACAGCCCCGCCCTGCTCTTCACATCACGTGTGTGCTCGTCTTTGAGACGTGTAAACCACGTGTAAACAGAAGTGTTTTGAGACGTCTCAAGACACTCGTCTTCGTTCTAACCAACAGCCCCGCCCTGCTCTTCACATGTGTGCTCGCTACTAGAAAGCACTCAATCGTTTCCTCTCTATTCCCCCGCACCTTGCCCGGTCAGTCTATATCTCTAACCACCCCCTTCCTAGCTCACCTCTTCCCACCTGATTCCACCCTGCGCCCCTGAACAGAGCAGGAGAGCGCAGAGCAGAACCACATGTGCGCTCGCTACGAGAAGGCTCTAGACTCCTTCCTCTCCACTCCCCTACACCTGGTGTTGGCCAGTCTAAATCCTAAGGCCCCCCTCTCTCCCACACCTCTCTTCCCGCCCGCCCCCTCCCCCGCCCCCCAACAGAGCAGGAGGGCGCAGAGCAGAACCACATGTTCGCTCGCTACGAGGAAGCCCTCGACTCCTTCCTCTCCACACCAACCGCTGCAACCACACCTCATGCTGTAACCACTCTTGCTCTCTCTGCTCTATCTCCCCACCAAGCAGAGCAGGAGAGTGCAGAGCAGAACCACATGTGTGCTCGCTACGAGAAAGCCCTCGACTCCTTCCTCTCCGCACCAACCGATCTAACCACACCTCATGCTGTAACCACTCTTGCTCTCTCTGCTCTATCTCCCCACCTTCAGAGCAGGAGAGCGCGGAGCAGAACCACATGTGTGCTCGCTACGAGAAAGCCCTCGACTCCTTCCTCTCCACACCAACCACACCAGCCTTGGAGCCAGAAACGGCTGTTGAGCCAGACTTGCTGTTTGTGTTTGCACGCAAGAAACAAACCCCACTCGATTCAGACCAAACAATGGAGCCCAGATCTCGACCCAAACCCCGAGTGAGTACCACAACCAAAGGGGTTCCTCTTGAGCGAGACTTGCTCGCTACGAGAAGGCTCGCCAATCACTGCAACCAGACCAGCTTGGAGCCAGCAGCAGCTGTTGAGCCAGACTTGCTGTTTGTGTTTGCACGCAAGAAACAAACCCCACTCGATTCAGACGCAACGGCGGAGCCCAGATCTCGAGTCAATTCACGAGTGAGTGTTTCTAGTTTGGGGGCCCTCAAAACTTGTAGCCCCCATTAAATAAATTAAAACATAAATGTATTATAAAAAACAAAACAAAACAAAAAAAATCTTGTATTTTTTATCTTTCCTTAATAATTTATTTATTTCTTCTACGCTGTCACCTATTGTTGCCCAACAACTCGCCCTTCACGGAAGCACTTTCCATCCACGCACCTGCTCCAACTCAACCCTTCGCTCTTTTGCTTTTCCCCCCTCTCCCTCTTTATCCGCCCGCGCACCAAACCCCTTGGCTGTCACCTATCGTTGCCCAACAAATCAACCTTCACGGAAGCACTTTCCATCCACGCACCTGCTCCAACTCAACTCATTCCTCTGCTCCCTCTGTTCCTCCCTCCTCTCGTCCCTCCTCCTCTCCCTCCCACCAGCCCCCATTGCTGCAGTGGACTCTGGTCGCCAGCTCGCCCTACCCCCTCTCACCCTCACCACTGCAGTCGTCCCCTGTTCCCCTGACCACACGATCCCAAGTCCTCAGCCTCTCTTCCCCTGTTACTCCCTCCCTCCCCCACCAGCCCCCGTGGCTGCAGTGGACGCTCGTCGCTCAACTCGCCCTCCCCCCGCTCACCCTCACGACCGCCATTCACGAATTTCACGACGCTACATACAACAAGGCTGCTACCACAGCTGCTCAATTGACAGAATCGAGTGATGCTGGCAACACTATCGGGGCAGACGATGAAGCGAATACTGCCAGACCAGCAAAGTTTGCCACTGGATCAGCAAATGCTGTCAGCTCTACTCCTGATGCTTCTGCAAATGCAGCAGAACTCTTGTTTTCAAACCAGAAATTGGATGAGCACGTGCAGAGGTGGCTGATGGGTCGGATACCCAAGAGGGCGTGGAGTGACGTGGCTCAGTGCGTGGCCTGGTACCGACCAGACTTGGTGTTTACCCGGCACCCTGCTTTTGAGGTATGTCTTGGTGGTGTAACGGGTGTTTGAAGTGGTTCAGAGAATTGTAGAGAGAGAAGGGTGCAGAGACGGCCAATGGGGCGACTACCCAAGAGGGTTTGTGTACTGTGTGGTTGGGAGTGATTCAAAGAAGTTTTGAGCGGTTCAGTGCAGTTCAGAGAAGTGTAGAGAGAGAAGGGCGCAGAGACGGCCATTGGGGCGACTACCCTGGAGAGGACTTTTGAGTCGACTCAAATGTCACCTAGGGTGTGTGTACTGTGTGGTTTAAAGAGGTTTTGAGCTGCTCAGAGAGGTGTAGAGTCAGCAGGGTGCAGAGATGGCTGACGGGTCGGATACCCAAGAGGGTGCGGAGTGACGTGGGTCAGTGCGTGGTCTGGTTCCGACCAGACTTGGTGTTCACCCGGCACCCTGCTTTTGAGGTATGCAGTATGTCAGTCTGTTTAAAGCGGTGCAGTGAGGTGCAGATAGAATAGAGCGTGGAGTGACTAAGCTCAGTGTGTCGCCTAGTGAAGACCAGATTTCATTCTCTCACTCGGCACCCTGCCTTTGAGGTATGCTGTGCAACTCTGAATCTGCTCAACCAAAAACCTACAAATAACTGTCCAAGCAGCAGTATCTTATCTCTGGTCTTTCATCTCTCCTCTCCTCCCCTGCTGCAGGTCCGCTTTGAACCGCAGAAGCCTTTCTTGCAGCGCCTCTTCCCTCAATGATTCCCTTCCCTTGAGTATCTATCTTCCGTTCCCTCGAACAACAGTCACTGTCACAATCACTTTACCTCTGGTATTTCATGTTTCCTTCCTCTCCTCTGCTGCAGGTCCGCTTTGAACCGCAGAAGCCTTTCTTCCAGCGCCTCTTCCCATCGCTCTTTCCTGCCCTTGAGTATTTTCTCCCTGGTGTTTCATGTCTCCCCTGCTCCGCTCTGTTGCAGGTCCGCTTTGAACCGCAGAAGCCTTTCTTCCTGCGCCTCTTCCCATCGCTCTTCCCTTCCCTAGAGCCACAGTCACAGTCACAATCACAACTATCATTACAATCACAATCACAACTACAATCGCTACAGTCACGCGAGCTTGTGAGCAACCTGAAGCAGGCGCTTGGCTTGCCAGTCGCGGCCACGCGTGCTGCTGTGCTGGCAGCGTACGAGGCCGCCACGTGGCGGCAGCAGGCCTCCATCCTGCGCCACGTGGCACGCCTCCAGCTCAGCGCTGACTGGGACTTGCTGGGCCTGTCTGCTGCATCAGCAGGAGGATACATTGCGACAGGCGATGGTGACAAGAGGAGTGGTGACAGTAGCGATGGTGATAGTAATGAAGATGAATGGGGAGAACAGGATCAGACGGAGGAGGATGAAGAGGATGAGGGAGAGATCGGAGAGGAGGGAGAAGGGGGGGATTCAGAAGCGGAGGAGGGGGAGGAGGAAGATGAGGATTTGGTGTGGTCCGAAGCTGAGGAGCAGAGGGCGCTAGCACGGGATGTAGAGATGCTGAAGCAGCAGGGGGGGCAGGGAATCACAAGTCAGGGACTGTTGAGTGAAGGTTTAACTGGTGGAGGTGACATTGACATTCTTGCTGGTGGTGGTGCTGCTGCTGCTACAGCTGGAGCTGCTGGCGAGAGTGATAATGACGGCTCAATTAGTGATGGTGGTGACGAGTTGTCTGTAATGGAGCAGACTCTAGTGAGGAAAAAAGAAGAGGCAGCTGGGGAGGTGAAAGCAGCAGTGGGTCCATTTGATTCGGTCAGGCTGATTGGAGAGCTCACTCTGCTGCATGCGATTGAGACCGGAGAGGAGACATTCTGAGATTGCAGTGTGTTACATACTGGTACCATACCATGTACTCCTGGTGTTTTTATGTCACGATGAGATTTTATGTGTTGTGTAACTGGGAACTTTAGACAAACTGGAGCAGAACTGAAGTATGAAGTGAAATTTTAAGCCAACTGGGCAGTTATTAGGGGGTCCCCCGGTTTTATTCCTAACCTAATAACAACTAGCCCCCAAACCCAAAGGACTGTTTATTAGGGCGCGTCTCCTTTTTGCTTTTTTGCAATTTTCCGGACGGTTCTCCTTTTTGGTACCGGACGGTCCTAATAGCGAGGACCGGACTGTCCGAATTGCCATATCGGAACTTTGCCCCGTCCGGATGCAATGCTGTCACTTTTTTTCAGTGTTTTGAATTTCCCGAAGTACTGTAGCCTCGTTAGGGCACTGTAGCGTCGTTACACAAGTCACGACCTATTTTCTACAAATTTCGTGCGCCAATCTGATTTCATATTTGAAGAAAATTTCGCGCGCCAATCTCTAGTCAGTACTGTTGCACCGTCCGTTTGGTTTCCGAACAGTCAAGGGTTCAGATTCTGAACCGTTGAAAGGAGGGAAAAGTGACGCCACGGTTCGGATGGTTGGCGACGTCGCACATATTTTCACGAACTTAATTACGAAAGTGGGCGAGGCTGGTAACCCTTCGTCGGTTCGAACCGGAGACGCGCCCTTAGGGGTCCAAGGCACTCACCTTGGAACGAGGGGCAACACACACAAAATCAACGAAAGGTGTTGATCACGAAAAATGCCTTGCAAAAATACCCTGCCCTCCCGCTTGCTCGTACCAGCCCTTTGGCTGCACAGCACTTCCGCAGTTTTGCAGCAACTACTGTGGGGTTGACGTTGGGATTGAAGGACACCACTGCCCACGTGTTGATCTTTGCGGGGGCGAACATGCGCTGGAGGGAGGAGGAGGATGGGGCACAGAAGAGAATGGATGATGATTCCGTTTCGAGCTCATCAGCCCGAAATAGACCGGCATGGGTCAGGATCAGCTGTTGTGTCAGGGATCCAGGCGAGCCTGACTCGAAGCGAGCCTGGTCCGAAGCTTGACATAGGTCAATAACGTACCCTAACTAGGCCCTTGACCCAACGTTCGGAAATACACAAATTTTGGATACGCTGGCGGTCTGTACGTGTGCATGTATACACAAATTCGCTTGGGGTGCTTTCTGAATATGTGTCGAAATGTGCTGGAGCAGGGAGGTGGAGAAAAGCAGGTCTAGGAAGGAATGGGGGTTCCAAAAACTCCCCCCTTTCCCCATTATCAATTTCCATGATCCATCCCATCTCCTACTCATCCCCAACCCCCCTCCTATGTTATCTCTCCACCGTCCACCATACCACCCCTTCCCTGTGACAGCCCATTACTCATATCATATTCATCTGCCAACATCTCATCCTCCCCCTCATCCTCCCCTCCTCCTCCGTGTCATCCTCATCCACAACGTGCCCCGCAGGAAGGAACTGGTGATTCTGGCGTGTCCCATTCGATTCTCAAGAAGTTGTTTTTCTTCTTCGTCTTGTCTGCCAGACTACCCAAACATTTGGTAGACTAACTTGTGTGCCTTTGCACATTTGTATACATGCTCTTGCGTACCTGCCAACAATAATTCAAGCCCAGACTTGATCTGATGGTTCAAATTCCACCGCCCGAATCGTGCTGCAGCGCCACTCCGCCTAAACTCCTCAACAGTACCTGGACGACAGCCAATGTCAGGCTGGCTCCACCACGGCATTGTTCTCAAAAGTGAAATTGTCTCGAGAAAAGGAACCATCATCTGAAAGAGAGTCGTCGTCATCTGTAAACGATTCCTTCTCCTGCAGTGCCAGCCATCCAGAGGCACCCATGGCACAGATATCCATGAATTGGTTCTGAAACATCATCAACGCCTGGCACCACGACACCTAAAATCGCAGCAGTTCTTGCTGCATCAGGTCCCCTTCTTGTCAAATTCAGGTTTTCAATAGTAGCCATGGAGCGGTTGACAAATTCCGTCATTTTCGCGCTGCGGGATGCACTAATTTCCTTAATTGTGTCACTTATCAACATCGCACCCTGCTTTATCTCTTCCTCGCGCTGTCGCCGAGTCCGCATGTTGGGTTGACCCCTTGATCGACTTTCTGTTGGAAGAACGAATAATGTCACGAACATTTAAGCAAATCAAAATGCTCGCCCGTATCCTGCAGCTATTCAACGGACATCGAAAAGATCGGATAAACTTTACGCATACAAAATGCATGGAATATATGCATAAGTACCTTGAGATGACAGCGAGTCTGCTCGGGGTGGACTAGCCACTGGATTGTCTCCAGCGGCCCGTGAGTCTCTTCGCTGACGCTTGGCATCACGTGAGGGAGCTTGGCCTTCTATTTCATCTGTTACTACACTTTTAGGAGCATCCTCACGATTACGGACCATCGATAAGGGCTTGAAATACGGCCTCTAGTGAAGCACCAAGAATTATGGAAAACTAACGGTTCCTAAGGTCTCACGTGCTAAGCAGAAAGAAGCCAACGAGTCAGTAACGTGCTGCTAAAATGTGAATGAAGTAGCTAGCTTCTTGGTGACGCCTGCTATCGGACTGGGTTTGTGGTCGAAGTCATGCGGTTCGAGTTTTAAGAGCATCTTTGCACGGTGCTGTAGGTTGCGGTGGTTTAGAATGTGCTTCCGTGTGGTGAGGGATCGAAGCCAGCGAGATGCACCGCAGACTGGTTGGGAGGGGAGTTGGTGGAACGGATAACGGTCTTCCCAAGGCGGTCAGTTTGGTTCAGCCCGAACCTGCCTGCTGGCTTTCCAGGCCAGTCAGTTTGGTTCGCTTTTACAAGCTTCAGCTAATTCTTGCGTGCGTTGCAGGCACGGATTCCGGAAACCTGAATCTCCAGGTTCGGTGTTGACACCATATACTCACGAGTGTCACAAGAATACAGTAGTGGTTTTCGCAAACAAATCGTTACAGTCCGCACGACCTAGTGCGACAGCATGACAGCGCAAGCGACAATCGTTGCTCATCGGCAAACGCGTTCGCGAAAAAGGGGAAACAAAAGTTACAGGAAATCGGAAATGTGTTTTTCCAAACACGTTGGAACTAACCTCCGGTCCGGTGTAATCTCGGGCCCTGTTCGATAGCAGGGTGACCCCAACTGTAAATTTTCTCCCACGGTGGGAGAAAATGGGCGGGAAAGGGTCTACGACTCCATGCGACTGTTGCGACCCCCGTGCGATAAGGTTGATTTCCCGACCGCGCGAACGAATACCCTGCGATGACTCGAGTTTCCCGCCCTCTCGCTAAAACAAGGCGGGAAATCGAACAGTGTTCCACAGCCCAAAGCGCACCCTAAAAGTGACTGCCGGCGTAATCATTACAGCGACATCACAGCTCGGCTCGGGCAAAACGCCCCACCGTTGTGACACCATTGCCATTTCTACTTTCAGGAGAAGTGGACACCAATGTCAGAGGAGGGGCTATTTAGGGATAGTTTGTACAAAAACTAGGTATAAACTAGTGTTATGCCAAAACCTTCGGACACCACTCACACGTTTTGTAACCGATCTGCACTACTCTATTTGTTTTTCGTCTCAAACATTTTGGGTGCGGTTCTTTCTCTGACGCTGACCGTGGATCCGCCAGGGCCCGGGTCAGAAAAAAAACCTAACATGTTTCCACCTCAATCGGCCGTTGAGGTGGAGGCTTTCGACCAACTCGGCCGTTGGACTTGGTGTACGAAGCCGGCAGGCTGTCGGCTCGAATGATTGCTGTGCCGGCGCTACAGAGCCACTTGTCTTTTGTCGCTATTCTCCCACCATTGTGCGGGAGAATGGTGGGAGAATGGTTGTTCAAATTGCTATCGAACAGGGCCTCTATGATCCCTTGATCTTTCATAATCAGCAACAGCCTTGACAATACCTCGATGGCGACAGGGGTGGACGGATCAGTCAGGCTCGGGAAAATCGGACGTGGATGACAGCTTCGGTCCAATGTCGAGCCCACAGGAGCCGTCGGGCGAACAGGAGCCTAAACCGATGAATACCGATCTAAACAGGCCGTCGCGGAAGCGGTCTATGCCGAAGAAATTCTCCCGTGAAGTGAAAGACGCGTGCTGGAATAAAGCGGACGTAGTTAAGGGACGCGATCCGGATCGATGGCGCCGAGATAGCGAGGGAAATATGGTCTTCCGTGCTTTCGATTCGTGCGACGGCCCGTTCTGCTTCGAATATGACCGCATCGTTCCTCGAAATAAGGTGGCATGCGATGCGACGTGCTATGTACTCTGTGCTCTCCTTATTTTTCAAAAGTATGGCGTGCGTTTCTCCCCCTCGCCCTTTCCTCGCACGGCTCACACCGTGGGTGTTCCCCCCCGCCTCTCGTCATCTACTCTTCCCCCTCACGTGAACCCTCACTTGTCTACCCTGCTTTCCCCCTTTCTCTCCCCACCACCCCTTTCCCCCCCTCTTTCTCCCCTCTTCCCCCTCTACATTCCACGTGTCTCCCTTTCGCCCCGTCCTATCCATTCGTGACTCCACGGAGGCAACAGCCCAGTGCAGCATGCAACCTCTCATCACCCCTTCCCCCCCCTGTTTTCCCCCTCTTCCCCCTCGACAATCCACGTGTCTCCCTTTCGCCCCGTCCTTGCCGTTCGACCCCAGGGAGGTAACAGCCCAGTGCAGCATGCAACCTAGTTCTGAGGCGCCTCAAAACTAGACTCCTTGCCAGTCGTGACCCCAGGGAGGCAACAGCCCCGTACAGCGTGCAACCTCTCATCACCCCTTCCCCCCTTCCTCCCCTGACCCCTTCCCCCCCTCCTCCTCCTAACCCTTCCTCCATTGCCCTCACTTCCCTTCTTCCACCTCTTCTTTGCCATTCATCACTTTGCAACCCCAGGGAGGCGACAGCTCACTAGACAGCACACGACTTCATCACTCCCTCCCCTTCTCCTCCCCTTTCCCCCCCACAACCCCACCCCATTCCCCCTGTTTCACCTCATCTTTGCCGTTCGTCATCACTTTGCAACCCCAGGGAGGCGACACAGCTCACGCGACAGCACACGACTTCATCACTCCCTCCCCTTCTCCTCCCCTTCCCCCCCCACAACCCCACCCCATTCCCCCTGTTTCACCTCATCTTTGCCGTTCATCATCACTTTGTAACCCCAGGGAGGCGACAGTTCAGTGGACAACTGTACCATTCGCCAGGTGGGCTCCCAGTGTGGTGCTGCGAGGTACGGTGCGGTATAATGCAGTGTGCTTTGTGCATGCAAGTGGTGCTGCGCGGTGATGCACGGTACCGCATGCATGTAAGCCTCCCTACTCTCTCGCCCCCACCCCATTGGGAGGCGACAGCTCAGTGGACAACTGCACCATTCGCCAGGTGGGCTCTTGATGTGGTGCTGCACGGTATGATGCGGTAGAATGCAGTTCGCTTTCTGCATGCGAGTGGTGCTGCGCGGTGATGCACGGTACCGCATGCATGTAAGCGTGCCTTCTCTCTCGCCCCCACCCCATTGGGAGGCGACTGCGCAGTGGACAACTGCACCATTCGCCAGGTGGGCTCCCAGTGTGGTGCTGCACGGTACGATGCGGTAGAATGCAGTTCGCTTTCTGCATGCGAGTGGTGCTGCACAGTGATGGACGGTACCGCATGCATGTGTGCATCCCTTTTCTCTCGCCACACCCTTCGCCAGGTTGACTCTCTCAGCTCAGTGAGGTGCTGTGCGGTGAAGCACGGCTGAGTGAGGTGCTTTCGTTAGCTAAGTTTCCGTGTGATGATTTCGAATTCCATCTCCCGTATCTCGAACATACCATGCATCAAACGCAACGTACCTTCCATTCCACCATGCATCATACCCACCCTACCCACCATACCCACCATACCCCTATTGTTTGTATTCCCCACACTACTCACCAACCATCGCCAGCCATTTCTCATTCTCCATACCCCATTCCACAACAGCCCTAAAACATGTATTCCAAACCCCTTACCAACCATTCTATACCCTTACTCTGTCTGAACCCGCTTTCAAACATCTCCCATACTCTTTGCCCCATACCCGCCAAGTCCTTACATCCTATATTTCAACACTCTCACTTGTACACCCTGCACCCCTTACAGACATTTCTCTGCAAGACTCCCCGTTCGCCTCGAGACATTCAGATCCTTGAAAGGGAATTTTCAGGTGGAGTGGGGGACAGACGAGGGAGAGAGGAGAGTAGTGAATGGGGGGGCGGAAATGGGGGGGTGGGGGGGGGGGGGAGAGGGGGGGGGAGGGGGGAGGGGAGGCGTGGTTGCAGAGAATATGTGGGAGAGTAGTAGAGACTTCAGCATTTGGGGGGCCCTGTCTCTGAGCTTAGAAGAATACCCTTATTTGTAACCTTATTCTTGTCGGACCACATTTGTTCCACATGCCTGTTCTTCACCCTTATCCTTAATTCTGGATTCGTCTAACTCAACCCGATCCACGTTTCCCCTCTTTTCTGTTGTGCCCTTCTTTCACTTCACCCTCCCCAAAATTTCCCTGGTTTGAATTCCCCTTATACATGTCCCCTCCCTTCCACTAAAACCTGACATGGTTCACTCCTGTCCCTCCTCAGGGCCCCCTTTCACCTCCCTCCTACCATCTCTTTCTTATTTCGCGTATCTTGTCAGAATCTCATGTCTCTGACTCCCGTCCTCCACATTGCACCCGAACCTAATGTGTCTTCCCGGACCTGCCTGGGTCTGCCTTGTCCCCTTGTGCCATCTCACGTAACTTGTATGGTAGTCCAGAATCTCATGTGTTCCTCACCACACCACCTCTTTTTTTGAGGCGCCTCAAAACTTGTCCCCTTGTGCCATCTCACGTAACTTGTAGTCCAGAATCTCATGTGTTCCTCACCACACCACCTCTTTTCCACTGTGCCCTTCCATACCCTTTTCTTTGTAAACCTGCCTCCCCTTTTGACCTTCTTAATCCAGAAGCTGACATGGATCTGATTGAACGGAGTGCGTATGGGAATGTTACACAACCTCCACAAGGTTCAAGATGTAGCATACAGTAGGGCCGAGTGTACAGCGAATTGGTTCGACTGGGATTCTAAAAGTAGACGTAACTAGGTCTAGTCTACAGTAGGGCCGAGTCTAGCTGAGATTGCTAAATGTAGTACTAATTGCTCTTATGCAGTCTCTTTGCATTTACAAAAAAATAAGTACCTGACCCTTTTGCACTTGTCGTCACAACAACAGCTGGTACTGATTCATGAACGTATTACAGGCTGATGTGGCACTTTTTAATAGGCATTCCACTTTTGAGCTACTAAACTTCAGGTGAGGACCCAATATCAAGTAAATGTCGTTTATATAGAGATTGTTAGGAAACAAGTATAGAATTAATGGCACACAAGCATGGGCACCATTGCTCCTGTACAAGGTGCAACGTAGCACCTAGTAGAGCTTATTCTCACTATAAGCATGGCGCCTACCAACGCCATATAGTCGCAAACCTGTTTCGCGACCTCGTATCAGCCACAGTGTATCATGTACACTACACTGTGAGCTGTATCGTTCTCTGTATCCTCTAATACCCCTCGGGCAGCACCACACTGTTAGTAGTGTGAACAGAAAGTTTACCCGCTTTGAAGTAGAAATCAGGACCCATTATAGTCACCACACTCTTATTAGGGCCAGCCTTACCGCGTAGGGAAACCCGTTTCTTCGCGGATGCAGGCGAAACCTTCGTCAAAAAGAGGGGCTTCTTCTTCGCGTCCATCGAAATGGTAACCACTGGGGTGCCAGGTGGTAACATTTGTAACTCAGTGCGCGTCTTCACGCCCTTTATGACTTGGAACGCGATGATCGTGAGCAATTTCGTCATGGGGTAACCGGTCAGATTCGCTTTGGTGATGGCGTCGTTAGTGGGTACGAGAACGGTAACTGAGTTCTTCGTAACGAAATCGCTCATCTGCTTTGTCTTGCCTGCGGGGGGTAAGGGGTGGATTCGGCAAAGGGGGAATGGCGGAGGGTAAGTGGCACTGTGAGGGGGAGTGGTGAGAGGAGGTGGGGTTAGTACGGCAAGGGCATTTGTGTAACTGCTTGACGGACAAACTCGACGGGATGTAACAGATATGGGAATAAAAAATTCGAGATCATGGCGCATAATGGCGGTACATACCACACATGGTGAAAATGCCCAGATCATGTCCCGCTTTCGTCCTCTGTCACGATGTAATTCAGTACCACCTCTCTCTGGCGCATAATGAGCGGCGGTACGTACCATACATGGTGAAGAGCGACACGAAGCTCGTGAAACCCGACATGTTGAGCCTCACGATCGAATTCTATGAGTGGACGCAAAAACTCACCGCACCACTCGGTACCGCACCACTGGCGCACTGCACCACTCGCTACCGCACGATGAAAGGCCGTACGTACCATACATGGTGAAGAGCGACACGAAGCTCGTCAAACCCGACATGTTGAGCCTCACGATCGAATTCTTTGAGTGGACGCAAAAACTCACCGCACCACTCGGTACCGCACCACTGGCGCACTGCATCACTCGCTACCGCACGATGAAATGCTGTACGTACCATACATGGTGAAGAGCGACACGAAGCTCGTGAAACCCGACGCGTTGAGCTTCTGGAGCGCCTCCTCGTAGTAAGGCGGCAGCGGAACTGTCTGCTTCGGTTTTTTCGCCCCCGTTAACGGCGCCGCCCATGCAGCCGAAAGGACGAACGATAAGACGACTGTCGCAAGAACAAGGCGCGAAGCCGGCCTTGCAAAGAAAGCTGAAGACGGCATTGTGAGATGAACTAAGTCCGAGATGTCACAGTGGAGAGCGATCGAGTTACCAACAACTTGCAAATAGAGAAGCTATGGGAGAATGTCTTCCGCAAGAGGGAATACAGAGGCAGGGTAGATGAATGTGTGAAGCTATGCTGGTAACGGCTGCAAATACTACAATGATAAGAGATCAAGGAGCTTTTATAAGGGGAACAAGGTTCCGTTCCAACAAAAGCGGTTGTTAGGTTGGAAATCCCAACCTGGAACCGGGACAAGTTTGTCGGTTTGACGGAGGGGGGGAATTGTTGGTGGTGGTTTGGGTTGGGTGTGGGGTGGGGAGGGAGGGAGGAGCTTGAAAAACGGAATGTGCCGTCCCTCGAAATTTCGCCTCGCCAATTTGCATTTTCGAGCCGCCAATTCAGCTCCGTCCAGCGCGCCGCGTCCGGAGGGTGAAATTTTTGGAGGGAGCGGGAATTGCGCGAGAAATAGGCTAGTGGTCGGGCGAGTAACGAACGACTGCTGTGCTGACGGCGGAGGTTGGAAGATATCGCCAGGCGAAACTGATTGCGACCGCCAGCCGTCTGCGAGCTCAGCGATTTCCCATCGTGCAGCGAGCTGGAATCCGCGAAAAGGTGACGAAGTAAACCTGTCAGTGACCAGGGAGAACGTTCTCACCTTCATTAGCGCGAATGGAAGTACACTACTACCACCTTTTCCGTAATGCAAAACAGACATTGAAGATGATAACAACCATTTGTCATATATCACCATTCGTCCTCATTCATCCTGCCTCTGCTTCCTTGACTAGATCCATGTACTCTAACAGCACTCTTTGCATCCTTTTGCTCGAGAGTAAGGCTGGAAACACTACAGTTCGGAGAAGGCCACGCTTTCTTCTCAACTCCTGTTAAGGCAAGTCAAGTCAAGGAAGTCGGAAAGAAGCACCAAAACAACACTAAGTACACATAACATGCTGAGCACTGCCTGCTATTTTCTACTATGGTGCTGTGGTGCGGAATAAGCTGTGAAGCACAAGAACCCCGATCACTCACCTCATCAACTTGTGCATCGTGCCGAACAGCCGTGCCCGCCCGGTTATCGGTAACCATGCCCGCCCCTGTGGTAACCGCATGTTTCCCAGCGTCCACAGACCCTAGCAGCTCCTGGCAGACCTCCCTCAGCCGACCCTCATCACCCTCCCTGGAAAGGACAAGAGGAAGGAGGGGAAAGAGAGGGGAGAACCATCGATGCGAGAGAGGGGGAGAGGGGGCGAGAGGGAGGAGAGAGTGAGAGAGGGGGGGAGAGTGGGGAAGTGGGAGAGAGATAGAGAGAAAGAGAGGGAGAGAGAAGGGGGGGGAAGAGGGGTGGGTGGGGGGGATGCAAGCGTATTTCAACCCATTTCAGATTTACTGGCCCTGTTCGGCAGCACCAAAGATTCTCTCCAACCAAACCATAACACAACCAAAACACCAGAATTAGGATCGGGAAGAGTGGCTCGGCACTCCCGCGATCGCGTACGACCCCCCTGCGATCAGTCAGGTATGGAAACGTAACAACATTGGAGTGGCGTAGTTTTCTTGGAAGGTGGGGTTTAGCATCTGGCTCCACTGCGCGCCCCAACAGTGGTAGCCGCCCAAATCTGCACAGTGTTTCAGGGGCAAAACGAACTTCAGAGCCACCACGTTGAACTTGCATTGCTCAAGCTGCTTTTTACGAAGTTGAGCTCGTTGTCACTTCACAAAGGGCGTTGCCCATTGGTCAGGTTCAACAGATGCCCCTAAACCGGAAGTGTCGTGGAACCCATATCACACGTTCATCGAAGGTGTGTGTGACCGAGTTTGGCCGTAGAGGTCTCCGTGGTCCTTTCATGTGTGTTGTCCAATTTCAAGTCAGTGCACGATTTGCTTGTTTTATTTAATAGCTGGCGAATCTAGTAAGAGGCACAAGTTGCCTTTTGTCTTTCTCACCACAGGCTCGGACCATACCTAACCCTGGCCCTGATTTCATTTCATTGCTTTTTGGTTGAGGGGTGTTCGCGTTAGTGCAGCCGAACAGGGCCACTGTAAACAACATCTCACTTTCATTTCAGGTTCTAGCCAATCAGTTGGTGCGCTTTGAGTTGCCTTAGAAATAGCAACCTCTGAAGCGCATGCGCCAACTAAGGAAACTGTACTCGATAAAAAAAAAAATCTCAGGTTTCAGGTTTCGGACACTGACTTGGTGAGCAGACGCACACAATCCGCCAGGAGCCAATTTCGCACTCGACTAAAAACTAAAGCTACTGCCGTACACGTTATATCGCCCTCGCTACTGTTTAGGGTTTGGCCACTCACTTGGTGAGCAGACGCACGTATTCCGCCAGGAGCCTCCTGAACTCGTCAGGTGAATTCAACAGACGGCAGGCTGCCAGGGCGTTTTCCAGGTGGGCTCTTGTGGCATGGGCCTCCTCCCCAGGTGCCTGCCTGTGTTGGGACGGTGGAGGAGAGAGGAAATAGAAGGAGATGGGCCACATGAAGAGGTTTTGAGACGATTGGAAACTCGTTGAGGGGAGAAAAAAACAAACGGAAAAAAAAAAAAAAAAAAAAAACCAGATATATAGAAGAAAAATAAAAGCTGTGGGGGACACCATCACCAGCAGCAGCACCAGCAGCACCAGCGCCAGACTGCTAACCTTGAAAGAAAAGACGAAGCACCAGCAGCACCAGCGCCAGACTGCTAACCTTGAAAGAAAAGACGAAGCACCAGCAGCACCAGCGCCAGACTGCTAACCTTGAAAGAAAAGACGAAGCACCAGCAGCACCAGCGCCAGACTGCTAACCTTGAAAGAAAAGACGAAGCACCAGCAGCACCAGCGCCAGACTGCTAACCTTGAAAGAAAAGACGAAGCACCAGCAGCACCAGCGCCAGACTGCTAACCTTGAAAGAAAAGACGAAGCACCAGCAGCACCAGCAGCACCAGCGCCAGACTGCTAACATTGAAAGAAAAGACGAAGCACCAGCAGCACCAGCAGCACCAGCGCCAGACTGCTAACCTTGAAAGAAAAGACGAAGCACCAGCAGCACCAGCACCATCCCAGCCAGCACTCCGGAACCCCCCAGCTCGAAAAGCGCCAGGTGGCGGCCTCCAATTGGACGAGAGGCGCGAGGAGGGGTGGGGGCGAGAGAGGGGCATCCAGGCGTGCAGAGAGGGGTGGAGGAGAAAGGACTTTCCCGAGAGAAGGGTTACCACAGGGGTGCACGGGGGGAGGAGGCGAGCTGATGCTACGCGTAGTGTGCCTGGTGGGATAGAAGGGGATGGAGGGACAGAAGGAGGAAGGGGATATGATCAGAGGGGTGAGTGCGGCAGGAAATAGAGGGGTGGGGGCGAGAGAGGGGCATCCAGGCGAGCAGGGAGGGGTGGAGGAGGAAGGACTTTCCAGATAATAGGGTTACCACAGGGGTGCAGGGAGGGAGGAGGCGAGCTGATGCTACTCGGAGTGTGCCTGGCAGGGCGAGAAGGGACACGGCAGGGGTGAGAGAGGGGAGGGATGAGGGGTGGGGGCGAAAGAAAGGCATCCAGGCGTGCAGGGAGGGGTGGAGGAGGAAGGACTTTCCAGAGAGAAGGGTTACCACAGGGGTGCACGGGGGGAGGAGGCGAGCTGATGCCATGCGGAGTGTGCCTGGTGGGACAGGGGGGACAGTCGGAGTTCAGGACGGGAAGGAGGGGTGCAAAAGGAATTTTTGGATAGAAGGGTGATGAGGGGAGTGTACGAGAGGAAGAGGCGAGCTGATGCTATCGGTAGTGTGCCTGGAGGCACAGGGGGAAATGGGTAGGGAGTGTGAACAGTGGTGCACAAGGCAACACCATACCTCACCCTCCTTCTCACCTGCACCCTGTCTCACATATGTATCTTACCTCCTGTTGCCTCTGAGCCCAGTGCGTCCATATCACCATCCACCAGCAGCTGCAGCCCTCCTATATCCCACACCCCTCAGCCCTACTCCCACCGTGACTGCTCATTCCAGCCTACATTGCAAGGCAACCCCCTAGCTCACCTTCTACAGCCTCTGAGCCCAGTGCGCCCATATCAGCATCCACTAGCAGCTGCAACCGCCCCATGTCCCACACGCGCACTCCCCCAATGGCATGGCAATTGATGCTGCTAAGGGCGAGCAAGCAACCCTTCTCACCTTCTGTTGCCTCTGCACCCAGTGCGCCCATATCAGCATCCACTAGCAGCTGCAACCGCCCCATATCCCACACGCGCACTCCCCCTCCCCTCGTCACCACCAGCAGCATCGGCCCCACCATCCTCCCCTCCTCTCGCCCTCCCCGTTCCCCACTCCTCCCCTCCTCTTCTCGCCCTCCCCATGTCCCAATCCCCCTGTCCCCTTGCCGATCCCATAGCTGTTCCAGGGGACTCTTAAACACGAGCCGCTGGTTTCTAGATACTCCGAACCAGGCCTGGTTCTTAGGCTCGGCGCCGGACCAAGACCGAGGCTCGGCACCGGACCAAAACGGAAATTCAGGTTCGGCAGCGGACCAGGAGAGAAGGACGGCGGGGGAATCGAGGAGGATTTCGGGAAGCAGGCGTCGGCCGGCAGAAGAGAGGATCTGTGTTGGGAACGGTGAAAAGGGATGAGGAACAGTGGGGAGGGGTCAGGAACGATAGGGAGGGGTGAGGAACGGTAGGAAAGGGTACGGAAGGAACGCTACGAAAGTCAAGCTATGCCCCAACGACATAACCAGTGGGGCCGGATCCGGTAATGGCAGTGACGGGGGAGGCAGTGGAAGGGGGACAGCCCGCAATGGCAGTGACGGGAGAATGATGCAGATGTAAGTGATAGATAGAGAGAGAGCATGTATGGAGTCTCACCAGGAGAGAGTGATTAGCACAGGCCACGGCCCAGAGAGAGGCTCCGGGAGAGGGTGAGAGGGTTGAGGGATGGGCGGAAACAGCGGGGTCACAGCCCGCAATGGCAGTGACGGGGGAAGAGAGGCGGTCCCGCCACAGCACGTGGCCGTTGAGCGAACAGAGCAGGTCAGAGTGAGAGGCGTCTGGTTGGTGAGCAAAAGGGGGGAACGAAAGGGCAGCAAGAGGGTGGGGCAACCAGCAACGGCAGTGACGGGGGAAGGGAGGCGGTCCCGCCACAACACATGACCGTTGAGCGAACAGAGCAGGTCAGATGGGGAAGTGTCTGGATGGGGAAGAGAGGGATGGGAGGGGAAGGAGGGGCAAAGGCAGGAAAGGTGAGATGGGCACTGGACAGCCGGCAATGGCAGTGACGGGGGAAGGGAGGCGGTCCCGTCACAACACATGCCCGTTGAGGGAACAGAGGAGGTCCGAGGGGGAAGTTTCTGGATGGGGGAAGGGTGGGGCCAAGAAGAGAAGGGACGGGTGGGGGGAAAACGCATACAGTGGGGAGCAGCGGAAGGGGGACAGCCCGCAATGGCAGTGATGGGGGAAGGGAGTTGGTCCTGCCACAACTCATGGCCGTTGAGGGAACAGAGGAGGTCAGATGGAGAGGCGTCTGGTGTGGGTGGGAGAGGGTGGGCGAGATGGTTGGGAGTGGCAAGGAGAGGGTTTGGGAGACAGCCAGCAATGGCAGTGACGGGGGTAGGGAGTGGTTCCCGCCACAGCACATAGCCGTTGTGAGAAGTGTTTTGAGTCGACTCAAAACACGTCCCGCAACACCACATGCCCGTTGAGAGAAGTGTTTTGAGAGAAGTGTTTTGAGAGAAGTGTTTTGAGACGTGTTTTGAGAAAACACGTCCCGCAACACCACATGCCCGTTGAGAGAACAGAGCAGCAGGCCAGCTATATTGGTGCGACTTTTGAGAATTCTCAAAAGTAGCAGCAGGCCAGCAGTTACAGCGGCAGCCCTTAGCAAGGCCATGGCATCCGCAGCTACACTCCCATACACCACCCTCCCCACCTTCCCTTCTCCCATACACCACCCTCCCCACCTTCCCTTCTCCCATATACCACCCTCTCACCTGTGTCTGCTCGCATTCTTGCTTCCAGAACCACCCTGCTGCCACCATTCCACAGCCGCTCGCCAGCACCAGCGGCAGCAGCAGCAGTGGCAGCAGCAGCAGTGGCAGCAGCAGTGGCACCCCGTTGCACGGCCATGGCATCCGCAGCTACACTCCCAACCACCACCCTCTCACCTGTGTCTGCTCGCATTCTTGCTTCCAGAACCACCCTGCTGCCACCATTCCACAGCCGCTCGCCAGCACCAGCGGCAGCAGAACCGCCAGCACCAGCAGAACCACCACCACCACCACCACCACCACCACCACCACCACCACCACCACCACCACCACCACCACCACCACCACCACCACCACCACCACCACCACCACCACCACCACCACCACCACCACCACCACCACCACCACCACCACCACCACCACCACCACCACCACCACCACCACCACCACCACCACCACCACCACCACCACCACCACCACCACCACCACCACCACCGCCAGCACCAGCAGAAGCAGCCCTTTGCATAGCCATGGCATCAGCAATCACACTCCCATACACTACCCTCTCCACCTTCCCTTCTCCTTCCCCCTCTCCCCCTCCCTCTCCCCCTCTTCCTCCCTCCCCTCCCCCACCACCCTCCCCTCTTCCCCAACCATCCCCTCCTACCCCATACCCTCCCCTCACTTCCACTCTAACCACCAATCCTGAGGCCCGTCCCTCTCTCGCCGACCTGGAAGCTTCTTCCTCCCTTCCTCCCAACCCAAGCCTATCCGAACCATTTCTTTCCGAGCCTATCCCATCTCCCAGCCTCCAACCCACGTTGAACCCTCCCCCATCTGCTCCTTCTACTCCCAGCCTCTGCCCCAGCTTTTGCCTCTTGGTCTCTCTCTCTTTCTGGTTACCAATCTGCTGGTTACCAATCTGCTGGTTACCAATCTGCTGGTTACCAATCTGCTGGTTACCAATCTGCTGGTTACCAATCTGCTGGTTACCAATCTGCTGGTTACCAATCTGCTGGTTACCAATTTGCTGGTTACCGATTCGCTGGTTACCAATCTGTTGCTGCTGCTGTAGACCAGTATCCTTCCTTGCTACAGCCACTGCTGCTGTTGGTGTGGCTGGTACGGGTGCTGCTGCTGCTGCTGTTGGTACTACTGATTCTGTTGCTGGTGGTGGTGTTTTTGCTGCTGCATTCGCTGGTGCTGCTGCCACCACTGTCGCTGCTGTTACCATTGCCACAGCTGCTGCTGTAGCTGGTGCTGCTGCTGTTCCTGGTGCAGCTGCTGGCGCTGGTGGTGTTGGTGGTGGTGCTGCTGCTGCTACTGCTGCCACTTCAGTCACTGCTGCTGCTGCTGCTGCTGCTGCTGCTGCAGCAGGAGCTGCTGCTATTACAGGAGTTGGGGCTGCATTGTTTGGAAGCACAGGTGGTTCCGTCACAACAGAAGTGATAGCGACAGGAGTGATTCTTTTCCGCCCATCCTTCCTCCTCACCACCACCTGCTGTCTCTTCACACTCTCAGAACTCATCTCAACAGCAGCCGCACCACCACCAGCTCTAGAAGCAACAACAGCTGACCCACCTCCCCTTACTGTGGGATTTACAAACACTGCAGGAGTTCTGGCAGCGGCGACAGCAGCAGCAGCCTCCTCTTTTTCCAAATGCTGCTGCAGGGCCAGAAGCTCTGGGTCCTCCACGAGCGAATGGGACGCCGCCACGTGGCGGTGGCCGTACAGGCTGGCGATCCGGCCGTCCATCTCGCGGCGCGTCAGAGGGATGCCGAGCTCTGATTGGTCGAAGAGGAAGGCTGCTACAGTGCCGTCTGCAGAGCAGCAGAGCATGTGAAGGCCGCATGGGGACCTACATGGGGGGAAGAGAAAGGGGTGGAGAGGGGTGGGTGGTGAACATGAAGGGGTGATTGTTTTCAGGAGGCCTGGAGCAGCAGCACAGCATGTGAAGGCCGCATGGGGACCTTCATGGGGAGAGGGAACCGGGGAGAGAGGAAAACGAGAGAAAGGGGACGAGAACGAAGATCTCAAACAGAGCATACCACACCACACCATACCACACCACACCACACCACACCACACCACACCACACCATACCACACCACACCACACCACACCACACCACACCATACCATAACATACCATTGCATAGCACGCCATACTATACCATACCATCCCACACCACATTATACCATGCAATATCCAAAACAGGCTGTTTGAAGAGATTCTTCGCGGTGAAGAGTGGTGAAGGGCGGTACGTGGGCCAAAGCGTAACCTTCCGATCCATGCCGCCCAGCGCTATCCACCCATACGGCCCACTCCTCATCATCCCCATCGCTTCCTCCCTCACTCTCTCCCTCTCCCTCTCCCTCTTCCTCTCCTCCTCCACCCTCACTCTCTCCTTCTCCTGCTCCCTCTCCTTGACCTCCTGCTCCCACACTCTCTCCCTCTCTCTCGCCTCCTCTCCCTTCGTCCCTTCACCAGCTTCCCTCCCCTCCTCGCCTTTCCAGCCCGATACTCCACTCCCTTCCTTTCCTCCTCCTCCCATACCCTCTCCTCCCCCCCCCTTCCCTTTCTCTGTGACCAGATAGAGAGCTGAGACTGCTGCAAGCCCCCGTTTGCCGCATTCATTGTCCTTCTGAGTCGACTCAAAAGCCTGCTCTGTGATTTGAGATGCCTCAAAAGTCGCCTCAATAGCCTTCTCCTTCTGAGTCGGCTCAGAAGCCTTCTCTTTGACAAGATAGAGAGCAGAAACGGCCGCAAGCCCCCGTTTGCCACAATCATTGTCGTTCTGAGTCGACTCAAAAGCCTGCTCTGTGATTTGAGATGCCTCAAAAGTCGCCTCAATAGCCTTCTCCTTCTGAGTCGGCTCAGAAGCCTTCTCTTTGACGAGATAGAGTGCAGAAACTGCGGCAAGCCCCCGTTTGCCACAATCATTGTCGTTCTGAGTCGGCTCAGAAGCCTTCTCTTTGACAAGATAGAGAGCAGAAACGGCCGCAAGCCCTCGCTTGCCACAATTATTGTCCGTTTGAGTCGACTCAAAAGTCAACTCCTTCTGAGTCGGCTCAGAAGCCTTCTCTGTGACGAGGTAGAGAGCTGAAACTGCTGCAAGTCCGCGTTTGCCAATGTCATTGTCATTCAAAGCAGCAGAACCATCAGCAGCAGCGGGAGCAGTGGCAGGAGCAGCAGCAGCAGCAGCGCCATCAGCAGCAACAGCAGTGGGAGGAGGGGCGGCAATCGAAACACCAGCCGTATCACCAGCAGCAGCAACAGCACCACCATTACTACTACCACCACCACCACCACCACCATCCGCTCCTTTACTAGACGTTCCGACAGCAACAGCAATACAACCATCAGCAGCACCTGCACCAGAAGTGTCTACACCAACAACAGTAGCAGCAGCAACAGCATCAGCAGCACCAGCACCACCAATGTCACCTGCCCCTCCCCCAGTCTCAGCCCTCCCCTTCTCTACCGTCCCCCCATTCTCCATCATTTCCACCTTCTCACTCTTTTCCTCCTCCTCCTCTCCTTCCCTTTTAGCACCACCCATCCTCCCCTCCTCACCCTCCGAACCACCCTTCCCAGGCTTCCCGCCCTCCAGCGAGGTTCGGTAAAGCACGGGGCTGTACCGAGCCACAGTGACAGGTCCGGTATGCCCGACGTAGTCCAGAGTCTTAGCCCACCCGAGCGTGCGGTCTAGGATCGCCGCGGTGTGGTTTGGGTCGGCAAAGGCGTGGACTGTAGTGAGGTAGGAGCCACAGGGGGAGAAGGAGAGGCGGCGAAAGAAAGTCGCTCCCACCTGATGGGGGGGGCAGCAAGGGAGTGAAGGAGTGAGGGTGAAGGAGGTGTCTGTGACTCCGTGGGTAGACCAGAGGGTAAGAGGGCAGAGGCGTGGACTGTAGTGCGGTAGGATCCGCAGGGGGAGAAGGAGAGACGGCGAAAGAAAGTCGCTCCTACCTGTCAGGGGGGGAGGTTGGGAGGGGGAGCGGGAATGCAAGGAGCAGGGAATGGGGAAGTGAGAGGTAGGACGGCCAATCATTGGTGCGGCACACCCTTGTGAGCCTGTTTAATTCATGAATGTGTGCTGACTCGTGTTTTGAGTCGACTCAAAAGAACCGCGTGCAAGGAGCCGACTCAAAACAGGAACCTGGTTGAAACTTGATTCACGCATGCATGTGTGCTGCTGACTGATTTCTGAGACGTCTCAAAAGAACCGCGTGCAAGGAGCCGCCTCTTGAGACACATCAAAAGTTTGTGCAGCACGGCACGGCACACTCTTGTGAACCTGGTTGAAACTTGATTCACGCATGCATGTGTGCTGCTGACTGATTTCTGAGACGTCTCAAAAGAACCGCGTGCAAGGAGCTATATTGGTGCGACTTTTGAGAATTCTCAAAAGTCGCACCAAAAGAACCGCATGCAAGGAGCCGGCTCTTGAGACGCGCATCAAAAGTTTGTGCAGCACGGCACGGCACACTCTTGTGAGCCTGGTTGATTCACGCATGTGTGTGTGCTTGATTGAATTACTGATTCATCCTTGAGTGAATCACTTCACGAATGTGTGCCTGGCCAGACTCACTCACTCACCGACTTGAGAAAGGGTCTCGTCCCTTCCCAAACTGCCCCCTCCCCTCCCCGACTCACACTTGACTCACTCACTCACCGACTTGGGATATAGGGTCCCTCCACGCGCTTCGCCACTGGCCAGTCTATTGTCCCGCCATACCCTAGTGTGCCTGACTGTCTCACTCACTCACACTTGACTGAATGACTCACCGCCTTGGGATGTACGGTCCCTCCACGCGCTTCGCCACCAGCCAGTCTATTGTCCCGCCATACCCTAGTGTGCCTGACTGTCTCACTCACTCACACTTGACTGAATGACTCACCGCCTTGGGATGTACGGTCCCTCCACGCGCTTCACCACCAGCCAGTCTATTGTCCCGCCATACCCTAGTGTGCCTGACTGTCTCACTCACTCACACTTGACTGAATGACTCACCGCCTTGGGATGTACGGTCCCTCCACGCGCTTCGCCACCAGCCAGTCTATTGTCCCGCCATACCCTAGTGTGCCTGACTGTCTCACTCACTCACACTTGACTGAATGACTCACCGCCTTGGGATGTACGGTCCCTCCACGCGCTTCACCACCAGCCAGTCTATTGTCCCGCCATACCCTAGTGTGCCTGACTGTCTCACTCACTCACACTTGACTGAATGACTCACCGCCTTGGGATGTACGGTCCCTCCACGCGCTTCGCCACCAGCCAGTCTGTTGTCCCGCCATACCCTAGTGTGCCTGACTGTCTCACTCACTCACACTTGACTGAATGACTCACCGCCTTGGGATGTACGGTCCCTCCACGCGCTTCGCCACCAGCCAGTCTGTTGTCCCGCCATACCCTAGTGTGCCTGACTGTCTCACTCACTCACACTTGACTGAATGACTCACCGCCTTGGGATATACGGTCCCTCCACGCGCTTCACCACCGGCAAGTCTGTTGTCTCGCCGTCACGCCCTTGTGTGCCTGACTGTCTTTTGAGGCACCTCAAAAGTCGGCCAGTCTATTGTTCCCCCATACCCTAGAGTGCCTGACTGTCTCACTCATATGTGCTGACTGACTGCTTCACACACGGACGGATCACTCTCGTACAACACCAAGTCTCCTACCCCAACCATGACTTACCGACTTCGGGTAGGGCCGCTCCACCCGCTTCGCCACGGACCAATCATTGACTTGACACACAATCACGCTCTTGTCTGATTGGCTGCCGAGGAACCGGCCAATGGGTTCCCACACGACAGCCTTCCCCCCCCCCGCTTCCCCTCCGATTGGCTGCCTGCCTTCCCCTTCCCCTTCCCCTCTTCCTTCCCCTTCCCCTTCCCCTCTTCCCCTTCCCCTTCCCCTCTTCCTTCCCCTTCCCCTTCCCCTCGTCCTTCCCCTTCCCCTTCCCCTCTTCCTTCCCCTTCCCCTTCCCCCTCCCACCCACCCACTGACTGATTCAACCTAGAGTGAATGACTCACCGACTTGGGGTACGGTCCCTCCACCCATTTCGCCACCGACCAATCGTTGACTCGCCACACGATCATGCTCTTGTCATCTGATTGGCTGCCTCCCCCTCTCCCTTCACCTTCCTGTCCCCTGCACTCACCGATTTCGGATAGGGTCCCTCCACGCGTTTCGCCACCGACCAATCATTCACCCGCCACACGATCACGCTCTTGTCGTCTGATTGGCTGCCCTCTCCTTCTCCCTTCCCCTTCCCCTCCCCCTCCCACTTCCCCTGCACTCACCGTCTTGGGATAAGGCCCCTCCACGCGCTTTGCCACCGACCAATCATTCACCCGCCACACGATCACGCTCTTGTCGTCTGATTGGCTGCCGAGGAACCGGCCAATGGGGTCCCACGCGACGCCCTTCACGAAGCTGCTGTGCCCCGTCAGCACCGCCACCTGGCGCCCCGTCATTGGCTGCCAGATCCGCACCGTGCTGTCGAGGCTACATGTGGCGATTAGTGAGTCGTCAGGCGACCAGTCCACATCCACCTGGGGGAGGTGGAATGGGAGGGAAGGAACATGGTTTTGCTGTCGAGGCTACAGGTGGCGATGAGTGAGTCATCCGGCGACCAATCAACATCAACCTACCGGAGAGGAGGGGTGGGGGAGAGAGTAGAGAGCGGGATCTTGAATCGACTCTAAAGTCGAGGATGGGATGGGAAGGATAGGGGGTTTGTTAGGCAACAGCCAAATGGGGGCAAAATGCGGGAGATACGGTGGGAGCAATTTGAGCGTGTGTGTGAGAGAATGTGTGTCAGAGAGGGGGAGAGCACACCATTTCCCCTGTGTGTGTGTGCGTGAGAGAGAGGAAGAGGGATAAAGCTAGGGCTCACCACTTCCCCTTTGTGGCCTCCCAGAGAATGCATGAGACTCCAGTTCTCCCAAACACCAGAGGAGAGAAAGCCAAGGTTGTCGTCGGTTGCACTCAGCATAAGGGTTTGAGAGTGCGTGAGAGTGTGGGTGGATTTTTTAGGCGTCTCAAAAACTCGATTTTTACACGTGGAGAGAAAGCCAACGTTCTCGTCAGTTGCACTCAGCATAAGGGTTTGAGAGTGCGTGAGAGTGTGGGTGGATTTTTGAGACGTCTCAAAAACTCACTTTTTACACGTGGAGAGAAAGCCAAGGTTCTCGTCAGTTGCACTCAGCATAAGGGTTTGAGAGTGCGTGAGAGTGTGGGTGGATTTTTGAGACGTCTCAAAAACTCAATTTTTACACGTGGAGAGAAAGCCAAGGTTCTCGTCAGTTGCACTCAGCATAAGGGTTTGAGAGTGCGTGAGAGTGTGGGTGGATTTTTGAGACGTCTCAAAGACTCACTTTTTACACGTGGAGAGAAAGCCAAGGTTCTCGTCAGTTGCACTCAGCATAAGGGTTTGAGAGTGCGTGAGAGTGTGGGTAGATTTTTGAGACGTCTCAAAAACTCACTTTTTACACGTGGAGAGAAAGCCAAGGTTCTCGTGAGTTGCACTCAGCATAAGGGTTTGAGAGTGCGTGAGAGCGTGGGTGGATTTTTTAGACGTCTCAAAAACTCACTTTTTACACGTGGAGAGAAAGCCAAGGTTCTCGTCAATTGCACTCAGCATAAGGGTTTGAGAGTGCGTGAGAGTGTGGGCGGATTTTTGAGACGTCTCAAAAACTCACTTTTTACACGTGGAGAGAAAGCCAAGGTTCTCGTCAGTTGCACTCAGCATAAGGGTTTGAGAGTGCGTGAGAGTGTGGGTGGATTTATGAGACGTCTCAAAAACTCACTTTTTACACGTGGAGAGAAAGCCAAGGTTCTCGTCAGTTGCACTCAGCATAAGGGTTTGAGAGTGCGTGAGAGTGTGGGTGGGTTTTTGAGACGTCTCATAAACTCACTTTTTACACGTGGAGAGAAAGCCAAGGTTCTCGTCAGTTGCACTCAGCATAAGGGTTTGAGAGTGCGTGAGAGTGTGGGTGGATTTTTGAGACGTCTCAAAAACTCAATTTTTACACGTGGAGAGAAAGCCAAGGTTCTCGTCAGGTGCACTCAGCATAAGGGTTTGAGAGTGCGTGAGTGTGTGGGTGGAGGAGGCCGAAACGCGCGTACGCTCAGGTTTGAGAGTGCGTGAGTGCGTGAGTGGAGGAGAGAAAGAAATTACCACTTCCCCATTGTGGCCTCGCAGCGAGTGCATGAGCATCCAGTTCTGTTCTCCACGTTGGGGGCGTCCATCTCCCCAAACACCACGCTCCCCCCTCCGCCTCACAAATGGTTGGCACTTGGAAGGGCAGCAGCAGGGCTAACAAAGGACTCACCACTTCCCCCGTGTGGCCTCGCAGCGAGTGCATGAGCATCCAGTTCTGTTCTCCACGTTGGGGGCGTCCATCTCCCCAAACACCACGCTCCCCCCTCCGCCTCACAAATGGTTGGCACTTGGAAGGGCAGCAGCAGGGCTAACAAAGGACTCACCACTTCCCCCGTGTGGCCTCGCAGCGAGTGCATGAGCATCCAGTTCTGTTCTCCACGTTGGGGGCGTCCATCTCCCCAAACACCACGCTCCCCCCTCCGCCTCACAAATGGTTGGCACTTGGAAGGGCAGCAGCAGGGCTAACAAAGGACTCACCACTTCCCCCGTGTGGCCTCGCAGCGAGTGCATGAGCATCCAGTTCTGTTCTCCACGTTGGGGGCGTCCATCTCCCCAAACACCACGCTCCCCCCTCCGCCTCACAAATGGTTGGCACTTGGAAGGGCAGCAGCAGGGCTAACAAAGGACTCACCACTTCCCCCGTGTGGCTTCGCAGCGAGTGTGTAAGCGTCCAGTTCTCCACGTTAGGAGCGTCCATCTCCCCAAAAACCACGCTCCCCCGCCCCTCCCTCCTGCCATACACATGCACTGTCTGATCGTCTGCTGCTGTTGCCAGATGCAGTCCATTATGGGACCACCTGAGAGGGGGTTAAGGATACGGAGCGAGAGACAAATATGAGCTCCCATCTCCTCCCCTCCCTTCCTTCTCCCCAAACACCACACTACCCCGCCCCTCCCTCCTGCCGTACACATGCACTGTCTGATCGTCCGCTGCTGTTGCCAAGTGTAAACCGTTGTGTGACCACCTGCCATGCCATGAGGGGGAATGGTATGAATGGATGACGCAAGCGAAGCGAGAGTGATACAAGTGCAACGCAAACAACGCTTGCCCCTCCATCTCCCCCTTCCCTCCCTCCCCCCTGCCATGCCATACACATGCACTGTCTGATCCTCCCCTTCTATTACCAGATGCAATGCAATGCAAGGTGACTTTTGAGTCGACTCAAAAGTCACCTTCTGTTACCAGATGCAATGCAATGCAAGCCATTTTGTGATGTGACCACCTGAGCGAGGAGTGGGTTCCGGCAATATGAAGCAAGCAAGAAAGCGCCTGGCACCCCGAGGTGACTTTTGAGTCGACTCGCCTCGCACCCCTCGCCTCGCAAGCACCCTGAACTGAACTCACCTGACAGAGTTGAGTTTTGAGGCGCCTCAAAACTCAACTCAAGGCACCCTGCGCCTCGCAAGCACCCTGAACTGAACTCACCTGACAGAGCTGACCGCCCCCAGCCATGAATACTGGGCGAGCAGCACTTAGGAAGGAACTTTTAGGAAAAGAAAGACAGTAGTACTTCCCCATACGTTGTAGCCTACTGCTAAGTGCCAAGAACTCTTAAGAAATTTGAACTCTCGAATCCACTAAAGAGATTAAAACGCAACGCGGGAAGAGATTAAAGCACCCTGACACAGCTGACACCCCTCCCACTCCCTCCCACTCCCTCTTATTCCCATCTAGCCCACGTGACAGAGCTGACTGCCCCAAAATGGTCGCACAGAGAGTGGCAAGGCGAGAAGGCAGCAAATTCTGGCTACCTTCCTGCCCTTCCCCTCCCTTCGCACTCCCCGCCCACCTGACAGAGCTGACCGCCCCGAAATGGTCGCACAGAGAGTGGCGAGGCGGGAAGGCAGAGCAGCACACTCTCATTACCTTCCTAACCTTCCCCTCCCATTCCCTCCCACTCCCTCCCTCCCGCTCTCAGCCCACCTGACAGAGCTGACCGCCCCGAAATGGTCGCACAGAGTGGCGAGGCGGGAAGGCAGAGTCTTTCTTCCTCACTACTTTCCTCCCCTTTGCCCTCTTCCCCACTCCTTCCCACTCCTTCCCACACCTAACCCACCTGACAGAACTGACAGCCCCAAAATGGTCGCAGAGAGTGGCGAGGCGAGACGGCAGTGCAGCATCGGACTCGGCCTCAGGAGAGAGCAAAGGAGGGAGGCTCCAGATGACGGCCTGTTGGGGGAGAGGGGAGAGGAGCACGGGGGTACCAGAAGGGAAGGTGGGGCGAGGAGGGAAGGCAGAGCAGCATCGGACTCGGATTCAGGAGAGAGCAAAGGAGGGAGGCTCCAGATGACGGCCTGAGGGGATGGGGTATGGGAAGGGGAGAGGGGAGAGGGGAGAGGGGAGAGGGGAGAGGGGAGAGGGGAGAGGGGAGAGAAAGCAAGAGGGTGTTGACTAGAGAGGGAGGGGCGAGGCGGGAAGGCAGTGCAGCATTGGATTCGGCTTCTGGAGAGAGCAAAGGAGGGAGACTCCAGATGATGGCCTGGAATAGGGGGAGATGAGGGGGAGGAGAGCGGGGAGATGTGAAAGCAGCTTTCAGGCACCTCGAGTTGGAAGCAGCAAGGCAGGGAGTGTGAGAAAAGAAGGGCGCCCTTTGTGTAACCCTCCCTCGCTGTAGCCCTTCCCCTCACCATCCTCCCCCCCCCCCCCACCCCCCCCCGCTCACCCCTCCCCACATCATGTAACCCTCTGTAACCCTTCTGTACCTACTCACGCTCACCTTGTGGTCTCCCCCCCCAGTGGCAAATCTTGTCCCATCCGGATGCACGTGGATGGCGAAAATCGCATGCCCGCCGTGCGACACCCACGACGGCTTCACCAGTCGCATGGCGACTAGAGCGACAGAATCCGCCTGTCGCACAGAGTCGCCAATGTGCAAGCGTCGCCGCCTGAATACGACTTGATAAGCAGCACGAAACGCACGTCGTGTTTACATCGTAGGGTATGAGGCGGTGAAAGCAAGTGGGTCTAACGTTTTCCAGTGCACAAGTGCGCTAGTACCTCGTAACTCTGCGAAAACTGACTGGCTGTGCGACGTGAATGCATCCAGCGACGCCGTGTGGCACGGCGACGATGAGTTCGCGTCGCATGCGAAACAGAGTCGACCACAGGCGACGACGAAATGGTGTACAACACGAAGGTAGCACTCTCTTCGCGACACTCAAACCTCATACTGTTCACCCGAACCTCCGCATTTCAAATCAATTGTTCTCGAGGCCTTCGCCTCAAGCCTGGCAAGCGTTCCGAACCTCGAAGGGAGGCTTGCACCGCTCAACATATGTTGCTGTGCATCGATAGTGCAAGCCCCGCTGACCTCCGTATTGTACTCACAAAGGAAGGAACAATAAGTACGGAACATTATAAATAAAGCGAACAACTTCTCAGATGCATAACTCCACGGAGTAACGCTACCAATATTCCCCAATCACTTCTGTTCTGAGTACCCATTCCTGCCTCATCATATTGGACACAGGCCCATTATTTACGCCGATGCTCTAGGCTAATGAAGCATGTTGCTTTCAGCTACCTGATCTAGAAATGCCCCAATAATCTCCATTTTCCACATTGATGGCACCAGATTATGACCCGGTTTTCCATGGTCGTATCACTTCATTCCAGCGGGGAACACGATCGCATCCGTCGTGTGCACGGCCAGCTTCCCAACTTTTAGGTAAAAGTCTCCCTTAGTGATCATCAACTTGCTCCCGAGCTTGCCCTGCATCGCCACCCAGCGCGCATTGAGCGGGGAGAGCTTCGTGAGAATCAGCGGCTTCTTGGACTTAAGATCCGCGGAGAGAGTCGCGAGCGTCGCATTCTTCGCGAGGCTTCGCAGCTTCTGGAAGGGCATGACGCCTTTGATGGCGTTGAACATGACGAGCGTGGAGAGCTGCGCTGTAGAGTAACTAGTTATCTTGACCTTGGCGATGGCCGCGTTGCTGGGGACGAGCATGGTGAGCGGCTTGGAAAGAGCCGCCTTGACCTGCTTCATCTTGCCTGCGACAGGGACGGGAGGGACGAAAGGGAACGGAGCAGATTAGAAGATTGGTATAAATTAGCGAGGAATGCGGCGAAATTAGTTGCACAGCGCAGAATGCGGCAAAACCAATCAATCATGAACCAATACGGGGTGAGAGTGAGGAAATGCAGTTGAGAAGGTGTTTTGAGAGAGGTGAAAGGGGTGTGCACCATGCGAAAGCTGGTGTGGGACGAGAGTAACGGGGGCCTACCATAGGCGGTGACGAGGGAGACGAAGCTTGTGTAACCCGAGTTGTTGAGCTTCTGAACGGCTTCGTCAAACGGCGAGAGAGGCATGGGCGACACTGCAGAGGTGAATATCGCACATCCAGCGAGAACGACGAAGATCAGGGTTGAACGAGAGATGGAGATAGCCATGGTGTAAAAGCTTTCGCTCAGTCGCTGAAGGCAGGGTGAATTCGTCGTAGAAGCGTGCGCTGGCGAAGTTGGAATGAGAGAGCAGGAGCTGTTGATGGGTTCAACTGGAGTTAGCGATGAATGAGGGTCGCCCTTGCGACGTTTATATGCTTCCAGGAAAAGGTAGATTATCGACACAACCGTCCTACAATTCCACTGCGACGCTTGCGACAAATTAGCCGACACAATTCGAGCGTTACAGTACCGCCGTTGTGGGGCTTGAGCCGACAAAGTGCTGTGCGAACGACGTCGTTCAAATACTTTCTGATGCGCGAACGAGGGGGAGGCGACGCTCTAACGACTGTTTTGAGGTCGCCAGTCGCAGTCGGTTTCATCGCAGGTGCGACAGGATGCAGTGACCGACAACTCACAAAACAAAACTGCATGCAGATATCTACATTCTAATAACAGATGCACTCTTTCCCCAATGCTATAATTGTCAACAACATCCTCTCATTATTCGCTTAGATATTCATCACTTTCTGGCCCTTCGTTTTTTCGAAAACTGCCATTGAAAACAACAATCTACAAAATTAACATTCTAGTCATCATGAATTCCTCCCATTCTTATATGGTACATACGCAATATGCATACCAAACCCGCTCAACCTAGTGAATTAGTCCGCATAAATTTTCAGACCTTTTCATGTAACAGGCATATGTACGGTAGTCGACTGCACGCTGAATTGTTGCGAATATGTTTGTACGCTTTTATTATTAAGTACACTGCTCGAAGTGTGCTTGTAGGGGCTCGCCATAGCGAGGGTTTTGACCCTGGTGGCGAGTCAACGAGGCGCAACCATGCACAGCGGTTGCGACCCGCGTGGCAGTTCAAGAGTCGAGATTCTGCAGGAGGCAGCGTGAACAGTACGCGAAACAGCCGTGCTGGGCGCGGCAGATTACCGCGCCCTTGCCGAAGCTGAACAATCGCGCCAGCGCGACTATAACAGGGCAACTGAAACGTTACAGCGCAACTGCTATACAGTTGCGCCTTGGTAACTACATGCCTGTCATGTTTCCTATATAACTGAATGTCAAATTACATTTGTATGCTTCTAGGCTGTAGTGGGGCATACTCTAGTGAGTACAACCCTTTAGGGTTTCATACTTGTGCTCATCCTGCTGCTCAATGCAATCATTCATGCCTGCTTATTCTAACATGGTATTAGAGCAGAATCGTTCCTAGTACCCACCGAACGTTCCGCCCTGCCCTACCCGTAATTTTTTTCTTCCTACGCTGCCCCTGCAGCCGCGCTGCCCTTGCAGCCCGCGCGCTGCCCCTGCGACCGCGCTGCCCCTGCAGCGGTGCTCGCCCCTGCGACCGCGCTGCCCCTGCAGCCGTGCTCGCCCCTGCGACCGCGCTGCCCCTGCAGCCGTGCTCGCCCCTGCGACCGCGCTGCCCCTGCAGCCGTACTCGCCCCTGCGACCGCGCTGCCCCTGCAGCCGTGCTTGCCCTTGCGACCGTGCTGCCCCTGCAGCCGTGCCTGCCCCTGTCGCGAGATAAGGAGAAGGAGGAAATATGTAAATACTGTACATTTGTATAATACTGAGCAGGAGCGAGTATCGAGGACTGCGGGAGTGGGGCGGGGATAAGAGGTGGTTGCATGGATGGATGAACAGGTTGGGCAGAGTACAGGATAAGGGCGGGAGGTGAGGTGTCAGCTGGAAGGCGCTGCCTTGTTTCGTGTGTGTGTGCATGTTTGTTTTCTTGCAGGTTGTGTGCCCGAGCCAGCTGGAGTTACAACCGAGAGCTGGAGGTTCGGCAGTTGGACGGCTAAGTGGTGGTGGCGAGTGGGGTGGGGGGGGTGACTCTTCGTTTCGGCGGAAAGTCCATCACCTCCAAGGGAACCACAAGGCGTAGCAGTAGGAGGAGGGTTTCAGGCTGGATATAGGGGAGTACGGGCAATGACTCTGTATTGTTTGTATGTTCTGTGCTAATCTCATGAAAATGCAACAGCTCGTGCACTCGTGAGGTCTCAGGCCAGTATGAGCAATCAAGAATAGGACTGATTTAGGGACTGGAAGGAGATGTGACTAAGCCAAGAAGGCTTATCACATACAAACAATCTATGGAGCATTAGCATGCGGACGAGAGCTGGTACGGAATACGAGCTAGAACCGAGGAGTGAAATCGCGGGTGACATCCTGGAAGGAAGGAAGGCAGGCATGAACCAGGGAACGGACACGCGCGGGGATGCGGAGCACGGTCCGGACTCGCCCAGGCAAGAGGCTGACGGGCGAGGGAGACAGGAGCCGCCAGTCGAGGAATCGGCGCCGATAGGAGCGGAGACGAAGGACTCGTGATCGGAAGGGCGACCGGTGCGGGGTGCAAGGGAGGAACCGGAGCATGGCTCCTACAGGCGAAGCGCGTCGTTGCAGGAAGAAGCATCGGTGCAACGCTGGAAATACACGCTATTGCCCAAGATTGAAGTGCCGGAACGGTTTTCGGGCGATACGCGACGAGGGCCCTCGATAAAAAATTATGTGATGCAGCTGGAGAATCTTCGGGCCCGCTGGGAGCGAGATCGCTTGGATCCGGAAGAATTCTTTCGCGAATTGGCGAACATGCTAACAGGGGAGGCGGAGACGTACTACCGCATCAGTAGGAGGGAGCTACTGGATTGGGCCGCGCGGGCGGCACCAGGGGAGAGGGATCCCATCGCTCGGTTCTTGGGCATGGTGGAGGAACAGTTCCCCGCGCAGACGCCGGAGAGGGTTTCGGAGTTTCGAGATTTCAGGCGTCGTACGGGCGAGTCGCTGTTAGCCTACTACGGTCGCTTGGTGGAGCTAGCCGAAGACATGACCTGTCACGATCAAGGAAGATTGATCAGTAAATTTCTGAACGGGCTGAGTTACGACCTTCGAAGGGACGTATAAGTGCGCGTGTTTGACATGGGTGCAAGGGCCACGCTGAAGGAAGCGTACGAGGTGGTGAAGCGAGTGGAGACGGGCCGGAGGATGTACGAGATCGAGGCCACGCCGGAAAGAGGAGGAGAGCGACGACGACCGGCATGGACGGCTGCGCCGGCAGAACGGGAGCGTCCGCCGCGACGGGCAGGAGATGAGAGGAAGTGCCACAACTGTGGCAAGGCGGGCCATCTTCGCCGTGACTGCCGCAATCCTCCAGCATGCTCGACCTGCGGAAGCGAAGAGCACGTGAGGAGGGACTGCCCTGATGCCCCCACCTGTGATCGCTGCGGACGAAAAGGGCATGCGGAGAAGGATTGCTATGCCACCAGCCGGGAAGGGAGGACACCGAGAGATCCGGAGGACATGCGGGCGCAGATCTCTCGATTGCAGCGGCAGCTACAGGAGCTGGAGGGCGCGGATGCAAAGGGGACGGCGATGTTGGCCAAGGCTGAAGAAGAGGATGAGACGGATAGCGAGGCTAGCTTTGCCCTAATGGCGCGGCCGGCAAGGGAAAGAGATGACATGGGCTTACGCGCGCGTCAGCGACACTTCCCTGTGGAACGGCCCGCGGAGGAGAGGGGACCAAGGCGAGCATCGAGCGAGGAATCAGGGGAAGGAGCACCGCGGCGGCACCTGCTGGAGCGCATGGCCTGTCAGCCCTCGGTGCTGGTGGTGGAGAAGGGAGTGATGACGGTGGGAGGGATAAAGGTGAAGCAGGCAATCCTGGATACAGGAGCGCACAACGTGCTGATCGGCGCACCAATGGCCAGGCTGCTGGGGTTAGACCGAGAAGACATGGTGATTCCGGAAGGATACCTCCTTATGACAGCTGATGGAGGCACGGCCAAGTGGATGCCCAGGACAAAGGGCACGGTAGAGATTGTGATTCGCCCGGGGCAAAGCGAAGAATGCACGGTGAGGATGTTCTGCGGAAACTCCTCCTCCGAGGACTTTGACCTGCTGCTCGGAGTGGAGTACCTGTTTGCCATCGGGACCACGATCTGCATGTGGGAAGAAAAGTTAATGTACCGAGTCACATACTGGGAGTACGGCAGTCCGCTGGCGGAGCTACCCGTGAGGTTCATCCGGAGGGAGCCACGAGAGGCGTACCAGGCCATGGAGAGGTCACTGGAAGAGGAACTGGGAGTGATGCCATGGAAGGAGATGGAACAAACCCTGGCGGCGAGGAAGCAATATGAGGAGACATGGGGACCCAGCGACAACCTGAGGGAAGCCCAACTGAATCTACGGGCGTTCCGCAAGCCGATGGTGGTGCTGAAGGCCGGACACGCTATATCTACGTATCTATACGTGGATAACGACGACAAGGCGAACCTGATGGCGTGGCACCACATTGGCCTGTTAAAGGCGCGGTATCGGGAGCAGATGATGGAAGGGGCAGCAGAGAGAGGGGCAGAATGGTTGTGCAAGGGCGTGGAGGAGATTGACGAGAGTATGATAGCAGAATGGGGGAAGATCGATCTAGTCATCGCAGGATGGGGATGCCAAGGTTATTCTCGTGCCGAAAGGGGGCGAGGAATGGAGGATGAACGGAGCGGGCAGTTCAGAGAGACGATCAGAGTGCTGAAGATGATCAAGAAGCGACAGGGGGAGATCATGTACATCATTGAGAATGTGGACATGGTGGAGGACGAGCGGCCTGCGGTGCGAGCGGCGACCGAGGAGATCACTGCGGAGCTGGGGGCAGGAGTGGCGTGGGACGCCGCGCAGAACGGGAGCAGAGCCCATCGCCCTCGGCGGTACTGGCAGAACGTGGTGCCGGAGGCGGCGTTACGTTATCAGCTCTCACGAATGGAAAGGCCGAGGGCACGACTGGTGGCGGATATACTGGAGCCAGGGCGGCTGGCGGCGCCAGTCACGCATCCTGATCATCCCACATAGTATCCGTGCAACCAGGTGGGGGAACCTCGGCAGGCGTGGCCCACCTTCGTGTCATACGACAATGCGAGGGGCCTTATCAAGATGGGGGAACTGCTGGGGCCCGGCATGGTGTACGATCAAGCTCGGGGAGAGTGGGAGGAGCCTACCGC